AGATGTTGTTGAGCAGGCGGAGCTCTCCGCTAGGGACAGGAACGTCGTAGCAAAGATCCTCCCAAGTGAGAACAGCCTTAGAAGCAATGTTGAGGTCCGAGCCCTGGTCGCTGCTGTCTTCCTTGCGGTTACGCTTGTCGCGCTTCTCTTGCAACTTGGCATTCAATTCCTTGAGTTCCTTGTTCTCCTTAACGAAGAAGGTGACGGTACGTCCACCAGCACCCCACTTGACGAACTCTCCGAGGAAGGCGTTGGCGAGAAGGAATCCGACGATGAGGGCGACCATGATACCATAGTGCATCCAGAGGTCTGAAGGATCCCATGAGAAGGATGTCTTGATATAGTTGGTACCAGATACGATGGGGTTACCAGCTTCACTACCAGGCAGAGTGCAAACCTGGGCGTCAAGGTTGTCGTAGCCGGGTCCAGAAGGAACCAGAGAACTACCGGCACAAGTCAAATCCAGGCGGCTGAACTCGTTCATCATGAGAGCAGAGAATCCCAATCCCAAAGCGTTGATGTAGAAGATCCACCGAAGCCAGACTTGCTCGGACTGCCACTGGATAAGATAACCGGAGGTGAGTACGAACAGTGTTATAATCGTAGCAGCTAGACGGATTGCAACATCGAAATCTGGACAAAGACATCCAACCGTTCGGAAGAACAGTGTCATAGCCAGATAACCAGTGATGATGACCAATGCGAATGTGAAGAAAGCTCCAGCATCTCGCACCAGGTTCGTCATAAAGTACACAATGATGGAGAAGACTAGAATCTGCACGGATGCAAACAGTAGATCAACACCAATCTGTGCTATCCAAAGGGCTGACGGTCGGTGGAATGTAAAGGCGCGATGTTTGTTAATAATGGGTCTGCCTAACATAGTGGATGCCAGTTCGGAGAAAGCCTGGAAAGCATTGAAGAGGAGAGCAATGAAGAGCACACCACCACGGGTGAAAGCACCTGCGGAGGTATCAGGAAGGTCGAGCCAGACGGTACCGGTGATGATAGCAATAGAGATGGAAGTAATCCAAGAGACAACAAGGGCGAACTTGTCCTGCCATTTGAGCAAGAACTGGCGCTTGGCCAAAGCCCAGACCTGGAGATAGAACGGAATCGAGTAAACGGACTTCTGGGGCGCGTGACGTTTTGATTCCTTGACGGCAAGCTGGAAGTCATCATAGACGTGCTTCTCCTGGTCCATCTGTGCCTTGTAGGCTACCATTTCGGCATCGAGCCTAGCCGCGGTCTCGGATTGCTTGAAAGCTTCAGCAAGCGCTTCAGGGGTAGAAGGAACATCCTTCTCGCTCATGCCGGGCTTGAACTCGCGCTCAAAAGGATCTGTGCAACCAGTGAGGTAGTCGGGGGTTGTCTGGCGGGGCTTCTCCAAGAAGCCAAGACCCTCGAAATACGCGCGAGCTTCTTGGGCAGGTCCAAAGTATACTTGTCGGCCACTGTCGATGACCATGACCTTGTCGAAGCACTTGTAGATGTTCTCGGAAGCCTGGTAGAGGGATACGAAAGTTGTGGTCTTGTAGATGTTTGTCAGCACCCTAAGCGAACGCGCATAGTCGACAGCAGTCGAGGCATCCAGTCCTCTTGTGGAGTTGTCCCAGCTCATCAGAGAAGCACCAGTGATCATGGTCTCGGCAATCGAAACACGCTTCCTCTCTCCTCCACTGACACCACGGACGAAGGGGTTGCCGACAATGGTGTTGCGGGTGTGCTCGATGTTGAACATCTTGAGCATGAGGTCAATGACCTTCTCCTTGAAGTCTTGTCTCGAGAGTCCGGCCGGGCGCTTTCCTGGTACCTTGGTCTCTAGCGCGAAATCGAGTGTTTGTCCAACGGTGAGGGTAGGGTGGTGGTTCTCGTCCTCCTCGCAGTATACGGCCTCTCCTCGATACCTCTTCTCAAAGAAGTCTGCATCGAATGGACCGTATAATACGTTTCCATCTACCTTTGTGTATCCGTATCGCTGGTTGCTGATGACCTTGAGGAATGTAGTACATCCACTTCCTGGCTTGCCCAGAACCAGCACCATCTCGCCAGGCTTAACAACACCCTTGAAGTCTTTTAGGATGTCGAACTCCTTGCCCTTCTTGCCGAGGCCGAGGATGCTGGCGGCGGTTTCGAATACATTGAAGAATGATACGAAGGCGTCTGGGAAGGTCTTGACGTAGTTCTTTACACCACCTATGGGACAATTAGCACGTGTTTCCAATGCAGATGATGCAAGGTAACCATACCGATACCGCTGACAGTGAGACCGTCCCATACAACACCAATGCGCTTAGACTTGATGCCTGCTGCCTCTTCCTCATCTTTACCACCACGCAGAGTGGCTTCGAGATCGAAAGGCTCATCCGAGGACTCGGAGCCCTCAATAGTGGCCTTTTCTACGTCTGTGACGACGTCGCCTTTGCGACTCTGCTTGCTCTGTACGCGACTCAATCGGCGCGAAATGTTGCTAGCACGGGAGAGCTCTTTTGATAGTTCGGCAAAGTCAGCCTCGGCACGTTGGATGTCGACCCCACCCGTAACATTGCTGAAACCCTTTTCGTTGTTTGCCGAATTGCGCGCAGTGCTGTCGGTGATGGACGCAGTCCTGACGCTGGCGTTATCACGGTGAGTATGGTTGCGATTGGGGTGAATTGCCTCAAAGGTGGTGCCTTCGGTGTGCTCTTGGATCTGCGTATGCTGGGGAGCGTTGGCGTTATCCATGGCTGCGACTGCGGTACAGGGCGCACCCTGCGTTTCACTTGAACGGTTGCGAACCGGTGCGGACAGAGGCGGTGTCTCACACTTCTGCAGGCCCGGAAAAGAAGCGAGTTATAAGGAACGTATGGAGATGTCGAACAAGAAAAGCAAACGAACAACAGAAGGGCGCCGAGGGATGTCGCAACGGCTAAATAAAATAAGAAAACAGTACACGACTCGGAGATAAGAGCAACTAGTTCCGAAAGTAGTCAAGGGCACAATCCTGCAGAGATGGCGCCGGGTGCGGCTAGGGTAGATCTCTTATTGTCGCAGCTATCAGGCCGCGGGTCTGCAACAAGTAAGTTTGATGTCCCATCATTCTTCAGCGGACTTGTTCGCACGGAGATAGTCGTGTGTATCATAACGCGCAATCCACTCACTCCGCTACACCTTGATCGACGGCACAGTCATTTTGCATGCAATTCGGTTAGATTCCGCCATGCATGACGCTGAGATCTCTGGGCAGACGCGAGGAAGCACCGCTGTACCAACGCTATGCGGCTCAGCGCCGGGAATGGTTGCTAGTGGGAATATCTGTATACCAGCTCGCCGACGTCATGGTGCAACAAACTCAGTAGGTGAAACCTCGGGCGCAGAGACTACAAACATGGCTCATAGTGATGCCTCGCGCGCGCAGTTGTTGAGGAGGATCAAACGAGAACAATCTCGTGGAGTAGCTTGACTCCGCTAGGCGTGATTGCTTGCCTGCTTTTTGCTCCACTTGTCTCCACAGCGAGTTTGTAAGCCTTCTGCATTCAGCGCCTTGGCTCCGACCCCTTCACTCCGCCGTTGCACACCAACGGGCCGACACCACCTGCGTCCGCCCTTTCCACGTTGGTCTCCATCCCGTTAGGAACAGGAGTTGTCGCGGTCACCATGTTCCCATGCGAGCGGTAACCTAGAACAGTGCCCGATTCCTCGTCCTCCTTGGACTCCCCACTTTCTGAACACTCGACGACTCGACTCCCAGCATCGATCGCTCAGCCCTAGGGGTACGTCTCAACTGCACGTTGCCCTATCTTGGCGTCGGTGTTCCGCCGCGGGCTACCGGCAACTACTTCGGCAACCCGACTACGCCCTTTTTCGACTCATTCTCGCTCATTCTAGACGCCAGCATGAATCTTCGATGCATCTCAACCTTCTGATCTGCAGCAAGGGCCCTGTCATGGTTGCATCGCACACAACGGCTCACACCGACTCATATCAATTGTCGCTGCCTATGCCAATTCCTATCTTGGTCCAAAATTAACGTGTCTTCACCGCGCTTTTTTCCCACTTGAACAATTTCGCTTCAGCCGCACCGACTAATTTTAGACCGCTTGTTGCTTTCCAGATCCGACACCGGTTCCCAAGGTGTGCCAATAAACTCTCGAGAATCAACACACCATCGCAACGTCTTATCACAGTATTCACGCATCTTGTGCATATGCAGTTCCACATCGCAGAGCAGGTCAGCACTATCGTGTCTATGGCATTCTTTCCGTTAGTGCAGTGCACGAGCGCTAATCAAATAACGACATTGCTTGACAAGCATAACGCAGACATACTAATCATCTTTCTCTTATCGCCATAGTTGCCGTTGCTACCTCAGTACACGGAGAAACGTTTTTTCCACCATCACCATTATACCGAACCCACTTAGAAGTCCAAAATCCCGCCTCTACGAACAAGTGTAGCTTATACTACTAGAACTGCACCAACACAGACACATTAGTTATCACAAAAGGCTCCGAGCATCGCAGCATCGATATTGGCTTCAGATGTCTCGAAACAATACGAGCCAACACCCCTATCCATCTCTGCAGACTTCAGCTCAAAGCCTACCATGGTGTTTCCAACCAGTAACAGTTGGGGCCTGAGTAATCAACACGAGAAGCTAAGCGTTGATGCGTCATACTGACTACGATCGCGAACTACATAACGCGAAGTCATGTGAAAGCGCCTCATTTATCCAGGAAATCTAACTGTTATTGGCTCTGCTTGCGAGGAGTTTCAGCCATCGATAAGGCAGACTTATCATGAGTGCACTCTGAAAGCTCACCGAGAAAGCATCAGCAAAGCCATTGTGAATCAATCTTACAGGCATCTCGTGCGCTTTTCGCTTTGTTCGTTTTCCTTGCGACCATGAGCTATCTTGAGGTACGATGGGTACGGTTACTCACTTATAAGGTAGTATTTATGGCGGTTGTGTTGAAGCTTTATCAAAACTGTGTACTTACTCCTTTTCTACCTGCATTTTATCCGGGACATTGCACATATCGTTGATAGACTTCTGGACTCCTTGACTTTGCTTTCAATATGTCTTTTCCGCCTATTCGATTCGCTCCTTTCCAATTGTCGAGCGCACCTTCATCAAGTCAAGCAAACACGCAACAACCTGCCCAGCAGCCACAGACGCCAGCGACGTCCGGTACATCTGCAAATTCCAACACATCGGAAAACTCTACATCAAATACGGCCAGTTCAGATACGACAGACTCGCAGAATACGAAGTGACCTACAAGGCATATCGCGAAGGCACTGGGCATCTATCCCGCTTTATGCATTACACTGCTTTAACGATTTTCTTTGTTCGCTCCAGAAGGGACCAAAGCAATACAAAGATTGAGTAACGCAACCAACAATTATGTCGAACTGAGGTTGGGATAGAGTTGCTTCTCTTCGTTCGAGATTATGGCGTCAATATAACTGTAGGATCATCAAGTATCATTTCAAGAACCGCTTACATGTCTACTGTGTCCGTTGTTCAGACCTTCCAATCATCAACAGACTCTGACACCAACCCTCAATCCGCCTATAAACTCACTGTACTCCGGATCAACTCGGTATTCATTATGAATTTGACTCATATCCATATCTCCAGATCTCATCTTTAAATCCAGCATGTCTCCAATGTCACCCCACAAAAAAGTAGTTCGTTGAGTTTCTCGGTACCCTGTACCCCCTCATCATAGTGCACGAGCATACATGGGCCCATTACATTTTGTCCGCTCGGTCGTACTTCGCGATTACAAATACGAGGTGCTGTCACTAGCCAGTCACACCCAGATAGCCAATGATATATTGACCGGTCTCTTGCTATTACGTATGCGTTGCCTCGTTCTGGCGTGTAAACACGTACTCGAGTCAGAATTCCCCGACCAGGAAACTATTGCAGCGTGCATACCTGACTGGTTGGATGGTAGGAAGATACTATATTCCATCTGTAATTCTGTACCACAGGATGCGTAGGCATGCTCGTGGGAGGTATAAACTCAATCCCAGACCTCGTCAATAGTTGCGTTACGATCCGGTATTGTGTGGAAATATAGCGCAAATGTATAGAACACCAGCCATCATGAATCAGACTCTCTTAAACTATGCATAACAAACAATCCTTTCGCAACCAAGATCACGAATAACGAGTCGCAAGTTCAGATGCGAACAGATATAGACACATCACAAACAGCTCAAAGATACCCACACCATGCATCTTACTTTTAGTAGACAAAGGCCCAGATATTCTTTTTTCAGTCCTTCCTGAACTCGTTACAAGTGGCAGCTCAGAGGATGACAGCATCTAGACTGTGGAGATTCACAACTAAACAATTGATCTGAAATGTTACATTGAAGAGTACAAAATAAAACAGCACTGCAGCTTTTTGCGAAATGTCATGACCGTCGCGAAACGAACGATAGAAAGACAACCTCCACCCCAAGACAACACATCCCTCCATTGCGACGCCGTGCCATACATACCAAAGTCGAAACTGACACAAGGAAACTATTGTTTGGGTATGTTGTAGTCGTAGGTCCAAAAGTGCATCCTGTTTCAATCCGTCCGTCTTCGCCAATTCATACATCTTCGTCTTCCCTTCCTATCCTCATCATAACATACCCAGTTACTCCCAATCCTTAATACCAGACACTCGCCCAAAAGCCTGAATGTCTCACACCTACCTCTTCTCATCCACCTGCATACCGGCTTCAAGTGCAGCTGGCGTCTTCTCCCTCCGCTCTTGACTCTGACCACCAGCACTGCTCGACTCACCCTGCGGCCTCCGTCCAATACGGGCAAGCCAACTCTCTGCACTCTGTACCGTACCATCAACAACAGTGGTAATCTGACCCATCATATCCAATCCTTCCTTAGCAAACGCCAACATGCGGTTTGCGCCTCTAACCTCATCGCCCCCCGCGTGCTCATTGTTCGCATTGCGACCCGCGAGCTGCCATCTCTGAGGTACAGAGAGTAATTGAGTGCGAACGACTGTCTGGGCGTTTTGCGGGAGAGCACCGCCCGTATAGCGGGAAACCGATTGAACGACGGATTGCAGCGTTTGCCAGATATCAGACGATAGGGCCTTGATACGGTCGGCAATCTTGCGGACTTGGTCGTCTTTGTCCGCGGTGTCGGCAAGGCCCATTTGGGCCATGTTGCCATTGAGTTGCGTCTTCTCATCTTGGCTGCCCGACTGCCTTTGATTGTTGAGGGCGGTTTCGTACTCTTCAAGCACAAGCTTGAGCGCGCGCATGACGGAGTCGATGTGAGTCGTCGCACCGCGAAGGAGGCCAAGGCAAAGCTTCAAGGAGCGTAGGGATGTCTCCGATAGCGCGACACCGAGACCGGAGGTGGTCATGATAAGCTGCGTGGACCAGTTCACGCGCCGATCTTGCGGGGTGTTTGAGCGTTGTTCTGGCGATTTTTGCGACGTGTTCTGTCCAGAGAAGACTGCCTCTTCATAGTTTGGAGAGCGCTGATCATCGTATGCAGGAAGCGACTCGGTGCATGATGATTGTGAACCGCCTCTAGTTCGTGACGCTGCCGCAAGCGCGTCGTCGACATCCATGGCATCGTCTGCCGGACTAGCAATCCTTTGCCTCTTACTTCTGGAACTCTCGCCATCACCTTGCTCGAGGTCGCTGGGTCGTCTGTCTCCCAGGTATCGTCGCAAACTCTTCTCCATGCCTGTCCTTCTACCCACAGATGACACCGTATTGACCATTGGCGATCCAATGTTGCGCTCGATGAGCTCAGCGCCGTATTGGACGAGTCGCGGAGTGTATCCTTTAGTCGTATTATAGGCTGAGATAGAGCCGTTGATACCGCTCCCAAGCCATGGGTGGTTCGACGTGATCAGGGAGAGGAGCGGTTCAGGAGGCTCAGTTGTAGATTCGCGGGCAGAGAGCGTAAGGGATCGTGCTGTCGGCGAGCGAACAAAGTCTGCGATAGTCAGTCAATATGTTACCAGCATCATAGACAGTAACCACAACGGCATGACTACATACCTGGATTCCCGAGTCCACTGAGCGCCTCGGCTGCCAGCCTTACATCGGGATCATCCATACTGACACTTGTCTCCCGCCTGTTCGTGTTCTCGCTGCGCACACTCGCTGTATCCATAGGGCTTCCCATGTCCTCACGCGGTAGGCTCTCTGGCGCTCTTGGGAAAGTCGCATGGTTTGGCATTGGCAACCTGCCCCATTGCGACGCATCGTACTGCGATCGCGGGCTGAATTCTATCGAGTTGTGTGGAGTATGACGCGCTTTGGTGTCGGGCAGGTCCAGGGACTTGATGCCCGGTAGCCTTGCGTGATCAGAGACATGGCTTGGAATATGCGTCGGTACCGAAGGGAGATGCAGCGATTCGGGCTCGTGTTGTGTGTATGCAGGCGGCGGGGCACGCTGGAGTGGTCGTTCCTGCTCCATTGTAGGAGATTCGCAGGAGCGTGACGTTTATAATCCGACCAGCCCTACCCCACGTTTGTCTGGGCGCAAACCACACCCAACTGTATCGCTGCGACTCGTGGTAGAAGTCGTTTCGAGTTACGCTATGTCCGTGAAAGCCGTCGCAATGCCCAATGACGGTGCGGAAGGAGCGTCTCGAAAGGGTATTCTCCTCCGCGGAAGCGTAATCGGACGCCCAAGTGCGAATTCGAGGACGCGATGATGTCGTTCAAGGGGATGCGAGTCGACAGGGACATGTAACACGGAAGAGAAGCTCTGGATGACGGTCGCAAAGAGTGGAATCGTCGCTTATCGCATGGTTGATCGGAAGGCAAGGTTCGAGGGATGACAGCGCGAGACGCCCGGCAGCAAATTGGGGATCACCACAAAGCCGTGATTCTCACATGTCAATCCTATCACATGTCACCAATGATCCACCCAGTCCACGCCACACATGCTTCTTGGCACTCAATTCCGAGCAACCCCATGCACTGTCTAAGCAGCTCAAGCTTCCGTCGTAGTGAGTGCGAAACGGATTGAGACACACTGAGCCTTCTCACAAAAGATTCCGACGCATTGCGACGAGTTGGGGCCATCACGATGGTTCCAGGTCAAGGCTAACGACAGAAGCCGCTACATGGGGCTGCAGCCGATCACTGAGCTTCCGGCACGCTGTCTCCTCTCGCTATTGCACGTGTAATCCGCCTAGGCTTCCCCACATCAGCCCTGTCTTCTTCCGATGCCCGCACACTACACACCTGGAACACAGGAGACGAATCATTGACGATTATGCATTATCTTTCGTTCAAGTATTTGCTACAACGTGCTATACCGCCCATACCAAAGCCAAAGACCAACACCGGAGTTGTCGTAACGCGATCCGACCAACCATGCTCTTACATGCTTTTATCGTAACACGGGGCTACACCAAAGTGTTTATCCCCACACATAGCAATTACAAGAAGATAGAAAATTGTAACCCTCCAGGGTGATGTCGTGCCAAGAACGAATTGCTAAGAAGCCTGGCCAAAAGGTGGCTCCTGTTGACGAGTTATTTCAGGGTCTGGTAGTTGGCACCTAAAATCTTGCAACAGCTGAAGATCATAACACGCTGCGTCAAGTGTGACTGCAGAGTACTTTGACTGCTTCGACGGCAAGGGGGCGTTGGGCATCGTCCAATGCTTCAAAAAGCTCCATCTGCCGCACGGCGCTCCGCAGATCCTCTGGACTGTCGAGCTTATGCCTTGCGGCTGCGGGTCGCACGTCCGTTGGGTGTGCCATTGGGTGAAGCTCCTGTAGCAACACCGTTAGTGGAGACAACACGCGAGGTCGAGAGCCGCCTGCGAGCTTCACCAACAGTCGGCAACTTCTCATCCTTCATCTCAATCAACGCGCTTGTAGCCCTGCGACGGCCCTTGGGCACTGGCTTCTTGTACGTGGCGAAGTAGAAGGCGAGGAAGAGGAACAGGTACGACGTGATGATGCAAATGCCCGAGATAGCAGCAAACTCCTCACCAGCACACTTGCCCATGTTGGGCAGGTGCGGCCAGTAGGTGCTTGTGAAGTAGGTCCACGAGGCAAAGTAGATGAAGCCTGGAGGCGGTCAGTTGCTTTCTTTATGACCCATGCGTGAGCAGGTGGGAAACATACCGATATCGAGAACGAATTGGGTGATCTGGCCAATGGTGATGTACTTCTTCCACCAGATGCGGATGCCTCGCGCGCTCTGGAAGTAGTACCAGTACATGACGACGTGGACAGCCAGGTTGAGAGTGATGACAGGCCATGAGACAGGGGTGTGACCGATGAGCTGGGTGTAGCAGAGGAGAGCGGTCGCGCCATGGTGGTAAGTGTGGAGGAAAGCTGGGCTTGTTAGCAATGCAACCTCGAAGCCAGATTGGTGTACATACTCAATGGCTTCTTCTTCAGGAACAAGAAGCAGGTGTCGATCAACTCCAAAAACTTGGTGAGGTAGTTAAGCTGTGCTTGTCAGTCGAATTCTCAAGCAGCATGCAACGTAAGCACTTACGTAGTAGAGAATGACCAGCTTGTCGGTCCATCCACCCTCGTGGTCACAGATGGCGAAGAAAAGACCCTTCCTGGCAACCGTGGGGATCAGTTGCTCAGCGAAAAGGAGCAATAGAGTGCCGCTGATTGCCGTGAGGTAAAAGTTGTGCACCTTGAAGAGGAAGTTGAGCTTGAAGGGCTCACGGTTGCGCATAAGCTCCCGTCCACCAAAGATTGTAATGTAGTATGCGATCAGCGTCACGACGCAGACCTTGAAAGTCGAAAGCGGTGTCTCTCCTTGTACGAATCGGAAATCCTGGGGCTTGTAGCCCGCGATGGGCTCGAAGCACTTCTCGAAGATGGGCCATAGTGCCAGGCCGAAGGGACGGTCGAGCGTCGGCGCGCCGATTTCAAGCCAATCTGGGTTACCCATTGTGTGCGTGTATGATTATGGGTTTCGATGAGGTCGGTGTTGTGTTGTTCGGAAGCCCTGGTCGGAAGGATTTAAAGGGTTGAGCCTAGTCCAGGAACTAGGTAAACAAGGGAAACGTGGAGAAGAAGAGCTGGCAACCGCGACCAAGCAAGGGCGAAGCGTAAAGGAGTGACGAGAAAATGTGAAGAAGTAAATCTCACACTGAGGTGAATGAAGGTGATGCGCAAAAGGTTATGAAGGGCCAGCAATTGTTTTCTGGCTGCGCCGGAAAGGAGGTCGGAAATGACTGCTGGGGTCTTCCGCCTCTCCCGCAGATGGGCCCAACGCGCCGTTGCACGTCCAAATTACGACACATTGCAGACCGAGGCGAATTGCATGTTTGCTATTGGCTACACTACTGTATTGCTCTCCTTTTACATTCGTCTTACTGCTGGCGGGCGCTGGACTATCTTGGCCAGATTTTGCAACCACCACGCTAGATCCAGATAGCATGGATTCGCGCGCAGCTGGCGTACGAACATGTAATTCAGCCTGCTTCGAAGATGTTCAGCATGTGATTTGAATGACCTCGACCTCACTCGCTGTTGCTATGTTACGATGCAAAATGCTTCTCCAAATGTCAACACCAATTCGGCAGGCTTGGCGCTCCGAAAGCCGAGAACCCCCTTGAGGCTAGTTTGATCTTCGAAAGCGAGTCGGATGGAAAACTATGCGGCTCCCCGTGTGCAGATAGTACGGCTTGAGAAGATGGGGATCCCTTGCAACCTTTCCAGCGCGCATGGATCAAGGCGAACAGAATGAATGGTGATGCTTTCTGTGGAAATAAGCATATAGCAATGGGCTCACGATTACTTATCAGCGTAGTCTGCCATATCTCCTCTCTTTTGTCTTTCTTCGTTGATTCGCTTTCACATACACAAAGGGGGCATCTTCAAAAATTCTTTATATTCCGCGTCTATCAGTATGAAGAAATTCCTATCCAGTCATCTTCCACAGAAAACGTCATCCGGAACACCACGTGAAACGTCCATGTTGTTTTGGGAAGAACCAAAGAAACCGCGACGCTTTGATGCCAGATAAAACCACATTGATATCGCAACTACAGTCCAGCCCGCAACAGGCTAGCAATGAATCAAGACGACAAAAAGAGAAGAGAAGATATGCTCCCCAGAATCAAGACCTAATGACCCGAGTGATTGTGCCTCCAGAATTCGACCTTGCACGACCATTTGGTGCGCGTGACGAGGCGGCGTGGCCAGAAGAAGAGTTAGGGCGACTGTTGCTACGCGGTCGACCAGCCGAGCGGCGAGCACTTGACGAAACGTGGTGCTCCCCTTGCGAAGTATGATGCCGTCGCTACAAAAGCGCAAAGCACAAACACGTCAGATCCACCTGAATCGAAATGCAAGTCTTGGACAACAAGGAAGAGAACCTAGGAGTCTAGGAATAGAATTAAGAGTACATCGATTCGGCCACAGAGAATGCTCATCCAGAGTTCTAGGGACTTAAGAATCAACGTACCGAGGTTTGGCTGCCTTGACGCTCATACTCCTTCGGCCGCCTCTCTCTCGATGCTGTTCCGTCGTCCTGTAGGCGGAGGTTCTCCAATCGTGACTCCGAGTCGTCCATGCGCATCGGATCGACGGCTGATTTCTCTGCCGTACCGTTTGAACGTGATTCGGCAAGCTTGGCAAGCTTATCCCAGCGATCCTGTCGACTTTGCTGTCTTTGAGTAGCATTGTTTTGTGACTCGGCGTAATCGTGTGAGCAGTCATCGAAGAGTTGAGGGTTCACTTCCATGAATAGCTTCATGGCATTGTACACCATACCATGGATTGTTCTGAATGCACAGTCAGCAAGCAAGTAGTCTCACCAGAGTGCATATACGTACCGGTTCCAGTGACCCTTCGAGTTTTCGTACAGCGGGGCGAACATAATGGGCAAGATGACTTCGACGTTGTCGCTAACAAGGTTGCAGAAGTACTCGTTGTTCCAGAAGTACAATGCTCTCTCGGCGACCTGGAAGTGAGGACTGGCGACAGATTTGGCTAACTGGTTGAATAGCGGCTCTTGTACCTTTGCGAACTCGGCGGGGTCCATAACCTCGAAGATGTCCTCGACCTCGTTCAGGAACATGACCTCTTTGGTACTGTTCACCTTTGGCCAATATCGGAGAAGACCCAAAACAACCTGAACGTGTAAGCCTAGCCTATTGGATCTGGCGTATGTTCCTACCTCTTCTGTTAATGCCGCGTCCTTTTCCAAGAACTGGACAATGCAATACGCCAATTGTGGATGGTACATGCTCAGACTCTTGACTTTGTGAAGCGGAATAAGCACCCTAGTGAGGAACAGCTTGTGCTCTTCCTTCAATGGCAGAGCAAAACCGTTAATTATAGAACCGAGAATTTCGAGAAGCTCGGCGATACCGTTGAAGCGTTCTGTCTCGTAAATAAATTGGAAAAAGACGTTGTTGATGGAACGGCGGATGTAGGACCGGAGGTTGAGGAATTTGCCGTAAATGCGATGGAGTGTGGTCTTCAAGAAGTCGCGCTCTCTGGGGTCTTCGGAATCGAAAAGCTCAAGCAGCTGCTCACGTTAGCCAGATGATACCAAGCAGATGACAAGATACGTACGTTGAGCACGAAACTGTGGTCTATGTACGCTTTGGCAATGTTTGTGTTGAAGTCCTGACTTTCGATGAATCGAAGGAAGAACTCGTAAACGACCTGTATGTGCGGCCACGCCACTTCCAGCACCGGCTCGTCTTCTTCTGGATCAAAGGCCTCGCCTTGGGGGTTCATCGGGGGTGGGATGGGTCGGAACAGGTTCTTTGCAAACATCTCGACGACGCGAGGGTACATCTTCTCGGTGATGACCTGGCGGTTGTTGGCAACATAGTCGAGCAGCTCGTGCAGGGCCAGACGCTTGATCTCCTTTGATTTCATATCGCCACTAGCATCGTTGAAGTCGAAGATGATGTTGCATTGGTCGATCTTCTGCATGAAGAGTTCCTCCCTCTTGTTCGGGGGCACCTCGTGAAAACCAGGAAGCTTTTCCAGTTCACGCTGGCGCTGGTCTGAGATGTCGAAGCGCGACGAGTGTTGCCTCTTCGGAGTTCTCATGCCCTCGATGTTGTCCTTGGGCGTCGCTTGAAGACGGTCGAATATTCCCGACTTCTGACCCGCCTTGGGCGGCGCAAGATCTCCGGGCATCGTCTCGGCCGCGCCAGGAGGAGGTGGATGCTGAAGTATTGATTAGCCTACCGAAAATGTGTCTATGGATGCGCAAGTACTCACAGGCGCGCTTGGGCTGATGACGACGCTGGGTGCAAGGGGCTGCCCCAACCTAGAGGGCGTGCCTGGACCAGCAGCGCCGGCATTACCAGCAACACCGGGACTCATCACGCCCTGTCCACCAAAAGATTGAGGTCCACCCGCAAGCGAACCCGACGAAGGCTGCGGGTTCTGTTGTAGCGACCCAATGTTGGAGGAAGCGCCGTCGGCGGCGGGCTGGCTCTTGCTTCGCGCATCGGTGAGCTGTGTCTGCGACGAGGAAGGCGTGGCCTGAGCAGAGCCCGAGGGCGAGTTGGAGGCAGCCAGCGACGGCGAAGCAGTTCCAGAAGACGAGTCCTTCTTCTTAGATGACTTGCTATCCTTGCTTCGAGAGAGCTGTTCGGACTAGATATGTTAGCCTCCGCGCATAGAGAGGGGTAAGGCGGTGCGGTGTGCTGCCAGGGTCCACTGGGAGGACGGGCAACTTACGACCCTTTGCCTAAAGCCCTTCATGGTTGGTGAAATGCGCCCACGGCCAGGTTAAGCGCTGCGGAGGTCTTGTAGAGACGGGCGTCCGAGATGGAGGCTGGCCTCGGGGCGTTTGGGGACAGGTCGCAATTCAAGAGCGCCAATGGGGGACTAGATTGCTGGCGCACACACGGTGGATCGGACACAGGAGAGCGTAGGGCTCAGGTCGACATGGAGGAGAGACGCGTGAGGTAATAGAGGGTGGCTAGTGTAGCCGTCTAGGATGGTGCACGGGGAGTCGGTGGAGGGAGGAGCTTCGCGAGGGGGTCGTCAGACGGCAGCTGGGGCCCTAACAACTTGCGGGTGACGTGTGGGCGCTTTGTCTAAGGGAAAGGCGTTTCTTCTAGAGCTGGAGAGACAAGTCGGAGCAGGTCGTCAACTGACAACTCAGGGCTGCTGCCAGACAGACAGCGTCGAGTGATTCGCGCTAGCCGTCCCGTAGGCGAGGCCGTGCGTTTTTGGCCAAAAGCAGCCCCGCCGCAGCCGTCACGACATGATACCTGCGATTGTGAAGTAGCAGATGCTGAGTGTGAAGGATTGAGTGCGCAAGCAGGAGGCAAGAGACTATGCAGCTACTTGGGCAGACGTAGACTCGTATGATCTGATCTAGTACTCCAGCAGAGGCATCACCAGATCGATCCCTGTCTCGATTGAGAAGCTGCGACGGGCCTCTCACTTGGTCAGGGTCTGCAAGAATCGTATCTTATACACCACAGCCATAGCCACTGCAGTCTGCGCTTACAGATAAGCACAAACTACTGAACGAGCATCGTGCTGCAGGCTCCCGTGACTATAACCACGAGAGATTCTCGAGCTCCAGACCCTTCGCTGTGTAGTACAACATGGACAACGCTACATCGACCACGGAAAACCAGCATGCGCCATGGCTACCGATCCCGTCACGTGCCGTCTCAGTCGTCGAACACCCGGCCATCGTCAAAAACGTTGACAAAGGCATTACCTCATTAGGTGGGCCTGTCAAACTGAGCAAGGTCAGCGGAGATAGCAGTGCCTACCGCTTTGGGAGAAACTAACAATCGCCTCAGGGCTTGCGATCTCGATTGGAAACCACGACCAACGCCGAGGGTGACGATGAGCTCAAGAAACTCATATCCGTCTCGTTGCGCCCAGACGATCCCTTCGCCAAGCGTTTGCTGTCTACACCTGTGAGGACGAACAACCTCCTGCTCAAAGTAACAGTGCCAAAGCGAACGGGACGCAAACGAAAGCGCGGAACCTCAGGTCCTTTTCTTTCTGAAGACGAAGTAGGCAGCCATGGCAATGGAGTCTCAAACGGTAGTACTACAGTCAATAAGACGTACGTGGATGCATCAACCATCTACAGGAGTTTGCAAGACAATGCCTCAACATACAAAGTCACTCTGGCAGGGGTCGTGGATGAGACCCATCGATTTCGAAGTGCGCCAACACCATCCACCTCAAATATAACAACGACTGACTGATCTTTAGATATGCCTGACTTGCAATGTGCTGCTTCTCATAACAAGATCATGGTTGGCCTCCGAGACCATGTTCTACCAAAACGATGTAAGTCCGACCCAGCTGTTCTCCGAACACTACTGATCCTATCCTAGACGAACAGCTGAAAAAGTACAATGTGAACACTGCGGCCGGTGCAGACCTTACGGAAAGCGTCGGACCGTCTCCAGAGTTCATACAGATGCCCATCGCTTTCAACTATCGGTTCCAGCAAAATGCCAATGTCAAGTACACCGACCAAGGTGTGGTCAACATACAGAGAAGCTTGGCCTATAATGCATACACGATCGTTAAGCCCACCGATGAGCACGTACCGACAGGACCACGACCAGGTCTCCCAGCAGAGAGAGATCTTACGCCTTACATGCAGTCACTGATAGCTAACATTCGAGCTTTACTTTTACAAAGACCTATCGTTACCCGCCAGCTACTATACAACAGACTCGGCTGGGACAAGCGAACAAAGCTTCGGCAAGCAGCCATATATTGCGGATACTTCTTCGAAAGTGGACCCTGGCGAGAGGCTCTGATACGATGGGGTGTCGACCCTCGCAAAGACCCTGAATATCGAAAATACCAGACTGTGTCATTCCTGTCTTACATCAAGTCAGGCACGTCCAAGCACCGCGCTGTCTTCGATCAACATGTTATGAAACTGGCAAAGATGGCTCCAGAAGAGCTAGAGTCTGAGCACACTTTTGACGGCTTCAATGTCTCGCAGACAGGCAATCTCTTCCAATTCTGTGACATTACCGACCCCCTCATTGCGAAGATACTAGCCACAAAAAACATCCGAACAACTTGTGCACCGACATTCCAAGGATGGTATCACGTTGGGACATGGGCCAAAGCCACGGTAATTTTGAAGGACAAAATGAACACCATCATCGGTGGTGACAAGCCTGATGATAGGATCTACCAGCGTATCGTCACTTGGCCTGAGTTGTGGGATGACAGGGACATGGCTGCCCAGTATAAGGGTGAGATTGACGACCGTCAGTTACACCACGAGAAGAGGAGGGAACATCAGGTAATGCACAATGTGCGCTGGGCTGCAAGAAACCCTCGTTATGCTTTTGAAAAGATGGAAGCACGTGACGAGCAGGAAAAAGAGACCGAAGAGGAGCAGGAGCCAGAGAACGTTGATGTTCCTGAGGACATGACAGAAGATCCTGTTCAGCCCGACACTATTTTGAACGCAGATATCGGAGAGGCAGAGGATGAAGAAGATGACCAAGACGGGGAAGCAGATGAAGATGATGACATGCAAGTCGATAACAGGGACGAAAACGTCTATAGTAGTTCGGACGTGGATGATGATGATGATGACAGTGACAGCCCAGTGGTGTCTGTACGAGCGGCATCAGAAGGACCGGTTCCATTTGGCGGCTACTACAAGGTGTGAAGTGGCTAGAGATCCTGTGGTACTGAGGAGGCTGGGGTTCAACAGCCGCAATTTCTGCATTCATGACTGTGCTCTTATCTGGCTACATTTGTCTCACAGATGGATAGCCCGAGGTAAAGACTTGTTGCGGAAATCCGTAGGCGTATGTTGCGCATCGCTCGCGAACCAACAAACCCTATATAAAAAATAGATCAAAATTACAGATCAGTCTTCTATATGAGCGAAGCTCAGCATTGCTGGAGTAGACGGTGAGGTCAAGCGCAACTATGCCGTCGGTCTCTGGAATGGGTGCGACCCACTAATATGCTTGGCTTTGGCGCAACTCGGATCGCCTGAGCTTTCGTTTTCCGTAACCTCACGCGAAATCGCACCACCGACACCACCACCCATCGACACATTACCGGCTACGCACGCCCAGTAGCCCCGAAATCACCTCCCGTAGCTTGCCATCAGCTCTTTCAATCACAACATGTCCTTCGCTCGCGCCGCGTCGAAGGTCAGCCGAGTGGGCGTACGAGTCCCGGCCTACCGAGCAACCCCCGTTGCGTTGAACACCCAGCGTGCTTTCTCGCAGTCGGCTATCCGCAAGAGCGATGCGCATGCCGAGGAGACCTTTGAAGAGTTCACGGCCAGGTACGACAGATCCAAGGAGGGGCTATAGAGTCGGGCAGGCATGGAGTCATGCAGGAATGATGGAGAGCCATTGAGCGCCATTGGTATTACCAGAAGCTGCAGTGCTGACTTGTGTTTCTCCAATACAGGTACGAGAAGGAATTCGAGAAGGTGAACGACGTTTTCGAGCTTCAGGTATGTTTGTTGTGTCTACGAAGTGTCCCGCACCGGTATCACCCGATGTGCCTTGGGCAGTTGTAGACTGGCGCGAAGAGGACCAACGAGCTGACAATCGCTAGCGAAACCTGAACAACTGCTTCGCCTACGATCTCGTTCCTTCAACCACCGTCATCACCGCCGCTCTCCGCGCTGCCAGGCGTGTCAACGACTTCCCCTCCGCTGTCCGTGTTTTCGAGGGTACGTTATCTGCTATACCCCCCATACGTCAGCCCTGGAATTTTTTATTGCAAAAAGGAACCAAGCAGATTCCGAAATGCGACGCTACTTTGGCATTGGACAAACCCTGAGATATTGATTACTAACATACGTCACAGGTATCAAATTCAAGGTCGAGAACAAGGGTCAATATGCAGAGTACCTCCAGGAGCTTGAGCCCATACGTGAGGAGCTCGGCATCCCTCTCAAGGAGGCCATGTACCCCGATGAGAAGTAGAGAAAGAGGTTGAGGCTGCGCATATCCGCTTTCCCCATGTTCCTACTCCACATCTTGACATCGAATACCATGGTGCGGCTCTCCAACAATGTAAATGTCAACACTTCAGTTTTCTTCTCTTAGATGGAAAGGCCGGACGAGGACGTGCGGCCTTGTAAACATATGTGATGTTTCTCCTTTGCATACATGATTACGTCAAACCGCTTATGACTGGGGTTTTGGTGGTAAGCGAGGCGACGGCAAGTAGATGGATAAGAGTACATCGTTTTGAAGCTCAAGCCGAGTGTGATGTTGTGTGAAGTCTCGGGTGCAGTGAACTTACAGACTGCCCCTTTGCCGCCCCTGTGTCGTGCGTCCAGGTGAACATGCTAGAAGACATTTGTGTCACTGTTACACGTTGTCAACCCTGAGAAGATGGTCATAACATGAGTAAGAGTCAAGGATGCAGAAGCCACCAATGTAGTGGTGCTGTCCACATTCGATGCGATCGGAGGAGAGCCAAGTCTGCCGCAATATATCAGGAAAATAGAACATACTATCTGGAATCTAGTGTGAACAGTTGACCGTTCGACAGGTACCGGACATGGTTCTTTGGACGCCGATGTCGCTAATCTGCATGAGGGATAGCCGCTCGCGCAGGGGTTGCGCCGACCAATGAGAGCACGCGCTAAGTTTTGGGGGTCAGCGTGCCTTCCTCGCTCGTCAGCTAAGTGCTTGCAGAAGCTCATCCATCCTCTAAGTCGCGACTCCATACCCGCACCTGGGACGCGCCCTTGCCCCACCACCAGGCCTCATTTCCACAATAACGATTGTAATGACCATATAGGCCATCACGCCTACACGTTCCTTTTCCAAATTTAATATTTGACACTGCAGCGACCTGCAAACGACCGAAGATAGTACCGCGCCATCGCCGAAACCAATGCGCCTGCCTTCCGCAACAGCGATCGCGCAACACACTGGATACCCACAACACTATTCGGCGCACCCTACGTGGGACTTGTAAAGGTGGAGGAGCGGCTGTAGGCTGCACATAACATCGCCATGGCGACTCACAACTTCGAGGCTATGGCCTCTAAGTTGGATGACCCAAACTCTGGTACGAAACAGCTGTGCCTGCGCTGAACGATTGCAGACAGGCGCGCATGTCATCAACAGAGAACAGAGGCTGACTGATGCAGATCTCAGAGCGAAAGGCACCCAGGCGATTGAGATACGGGACAACATTGAGAGCTACTGTCAAGGGCAGCAGTACAGCACATTCTTGAACCATCTGGTCCCTGTATTTCTCAAGATACTAGATGGCAACCCAGTCTTCATCTCGACATCGCCCGAACAGGTGAGCGCACACGTCGCGACAATTCTACAGCCTTCTGACTCAGAAACAGCGCATACGCAACTGCGTCCTCGAGATCTTGCACCGACTGCCGATGAACCCGACGGAAGCGATCGAACCGCATGCGGCTAAGATTGTAGACAAGCTCATGAGTCTTGTGAAGCTGGAAAACGAGGATAATGCGGTGCTATGCATGAAGACCATCATGGACTTCCAACGCCACCAGACCAAGGCTCTCGCTGATCGGGTTCAGCCTTTCCTGGATCTAATCCAGGAAATGTTCGAGACAATGGAGCAAGCAGTACACGACACATTTGACAGCAACACGACAGCCTCAGCCTCGCAGGGCGTCCCTTCCACACCCAACAACCACCAATTCTCCCAGTCGCCACGTCCGAGCTCACCAGCGACCGCTCTTACGTCCTCCGCAGGAGATATTGGGTCGGAACACCAACAAACTCGCATGTTGCTCAAGGGAATGCAGTCGTTCAAAGTCCTCGCCGAATGTCCGATAATAGTAGTATCTCTATTTCAGGCATACAGGAACTGTGTGAACAAGAACGTCAAACTTTTTGTACCGCTGATCAAGAACGTACTTTTGCTCCAGGCAAAACCGCAAGAGAAGGCGCATGAGGAGGCCAAGGCCCAGGGCAAGATCTTCACCGGCGTTAGCAAAGAGATCCGTAATCGTGCAGCCTTTGGCGACTTCATTACCGCCCAAGTCAAGACCATGAGCTTCCTGGCCTACTTGCTCAGAGTGTATGCGAATCAGCTAAACGACTTCCTTCCGACCCTCCCGGATATTGTGGTTCGATTGCTCAAGGACTGTCCACGGGAGAAATCTGGTGCACGGAAAGAGCTCTTGGTTGCTATCAGACATATCATCAACTTCAACTTCCGCAAGATCTTTCTGAAGAAGATTGACGAGCTCTTGGACGAAAGGACGCTGATTGGCGATGGTCTCACAGTGTACGAGACGATGCGACCGCTCGCCTACAGCATGTTGGCAGATCTGATACATCATCTGCGAGAATCGCTGTCGAAGGAGCAGATTCGACGCACAGTGGAGGTGTACACAAAGAATCTACACGACACATTCCCTGGAACTAGCTTCCAAACCATGAGCGCAAAGCTTCTTCTCAACATGGCTGAGTGCATCGCAAAGCTGGAACCCAAGGAGGATGCTCGGTACTTCTTGATCATGATACTGAACGCCATCGGCGATAAGTTCGCAGCGATGAACCGTCAGTACCACAACGCTGTTAAGCTCTCAGCGCAGTACAGCCAGCCGTCTATTGATGCCGTAGATGAGAACCACATGGCTGTTCAGGAAAATCCTCCGGATTGGGATGAGATTGACATCTCTAACGCGACGCCCATCAAGACATCGAACCCGCGAGACAGGAGCTCCGACCCAATCGCTGATAACAAATTCTTGTTCAAGAATCTGCTACATGGGCTCAAGAATCTCTTTTACCAGTTGCGAGCCTGCAATCCAGCCAAGATAAAGGACGAGATTGATCCGACAAACGCATCCGCGAACTGGCACGAAGTATCGTTTGGATACAATGCAGAAGAGGTGGAGGTCCTCATCAAGCTGTTCCGTGAAGGAGCGAAGGTATTCCGTTACTACGGCACCGACAAGGCTCCTGAAACCCAAGGCTTGTCACCAGGAGATTTCATGGGCAATCAGCACATGATGTCAAGTGGCAAAGAAGAGAAGGACCTCTTGGAGACGTTCGCAACTGTTTTCCACCACATTGATCCGGCTACGTTCCACGAAGTGTTTTCATCCGAGATACCCCATTTGTACGATATGATGTTCGATCACCCAGCGTTGCTCCACGTTCCACAGTTTCTTCTCGCTTCCGAGGCTACGTCACCCAGCTTTTCGGGCATGTTGTTACAGTTTCTCATGGACCGAATCGAAGAGGTCGGTACTGCCGATGTGAAGAAGTCTTCCATCCTACTCCGCCTCTTCAAGCTTTCCTTTATGGCTGTCACGCTCTTCTCTGCCCAGAACGAGCAAGTGCTTCTGCCACATGTCAGCAAGATCATAACAAAGTCGATTCAATTGTCAACCACAGCTGAGGAGCCTATGAACTACTTCCTGCTGCTTAGATCACTCTTCAGGAGTATCGGCGGTGGCAGATTTGAGCATCTATACAAGGAAATCCTCCCTTTGCTGGAAATGCTACTCGATGTGCTCAACAATCTCCTCTTGACGGCGCGCAAGCCTGCTGAAAGAGACCTTTTTGTCGAGCTATCTCTTACAGTCCCCGCGCGGCTCAGTAACCTCTTGCCACATCTCAGCTACTTGATGAGGCCGCTAGTCGTAGCCTTGCGAGCTGGGTCAGACCTTGTTGGTCAAGGGCTGCGTACTCTGGAGCTCTGTGTGGATAACCTCACCGCAGATTATCTAGATCCAATCATGGCACCAGTTATTGACGAGCTCATGGCTGCACTGTGGGAGCACCTAAAACCAAACCCATACAGCCACTTCCATGCTCATACCACGATGCGCATTCTCGGAAAGCTAGGAGGTCGCAACCGCAAGTTCATTACTGGCCCACCAGAGCTAGATTTCAAACCGTACTCTGACGATCAATCGTCCATCGACATCCGGCTCATCGGCTCTACTAAGGATCGCGCCTTTCCTGCCGCTGTAGGTATCGACACTGCTATTGCGAAGCTTCACGAGGTTCCGAAGACTCCAGCAGCAAAGAAGTCGGACACCTTCCACAAGCAGCAAGCTCTTCGTCTCATCACCGCGCACACTAAGCTGCTGGTCGGCTTCGACAGCTTGCCAGAAGACTTTGCTCAGCTAGTACGCCTGCAAGCGAACGACTTATGTGCGAAGAAGTTTGATGTTGGCTACGACATCCTCACTGCATCTGAGCGTGAGAAGTCCATCACGAAGAAAAGTGTGGAACAGGAAACACTCAAAAAGCTGCTGAAAGCGAGCATCTTTGCTGCTTCTATACCTGAGCTGAAGTTGGAGGCTGAGGCTCTGGTAAGTAACTTGGCAAAACATTTCACGCTTCTCGAGCTTGGAACGCAGTTCGCTACACTCAAACACAAGAACAAGCCGTTCGATGTGCATTCGGGAGAAGGACCTGTTGTCATCGAGAGCGATGTTGTGTCTGAAGCTATCGGCGAATCTCTGGCTTCAGAACATGGCGCAGTACGGGACGCTGCTGAACAGGCTATCCTCACAATGCGCGACGCTACGAAAGCAATCTTTGGAAACGACAGCTCGCTCGACAAGTTCGTGTTCTTCAACGAGCTCTCGAGTACCTTTTGTCACAACTGTCACGCCGATGATTGGTTCATGAAGTCCGGTGGAACCCGGGGTATTGAAATTATGATCAAGCAGTTGGGCCTTCCTCAGTCCTGGCTTGTACCCCGCCACTTCGAGCTCGTCCGGGCTCTCAATTTTGTCATGAAGGATATGCCTATTGATCTCGACTCAAAGACGCGCATACAAGCAGAAGGACTTATCCAGGACCTCATCAGGCGCTGCCACAAGAAGACGACTAAAGAAGAGTTCGACAAGGGTAACAACATCACTCTGAAGCTCTGCCAACAGCTTGTAGGCGACCTTTCGCATATGAACAAGAGTGTCCGAGATGCGACACAGAAGGCATTCCAGGTGTTGGCGGATGTGACGGAGTTGAGCGTTAGTGATCTTATCACACCGGTAAAGGACAGACTCATTCTTCCAATTTGGACGAAACCGCTGCGCGCACTACCCTTCAGCATTCAAATTGCCTACATCGACGCGATCACCTTCTGTTTGAAGCTCAAAAACAACATTCTCGAATTCAATGAACAACTTACGAGGTTGTTGATGGAGTCGCTGGCGCTAGCTGACGCAGAAGATGAGCACCTGGCTAGTAAACCTTTCGAGCAGCGGAACGCTGACCACATTGTCAATCTGCGAGTCGCATGTATCCGCCTCCTCTCCACCGCTCAAACCTTCCCCGAGTTCAGCACTACTCCACCGAACCAGACTTTCCTCCGCATCATCGCTGTCTTCTTCAAGTGTCTCTACTCAAAGTCGCCAGAGGTCATTGAGGCAGCCAACATTGGTCTATCGGGAGTGATTTCAGCGACCAACAAGCTGCCCAAAGACGTTCTCCAGAGTGGCCTCCGCCCTATCCTCGTCAACCTACAAGATCCAAGAAAGCTCTCTGTCGAGAATCTTGACGGGTTGGCACGATTGTTGAAGCTTCTCACAAACTACTTCAAGGTGGAAATCGGAACTCGGTTGCTTGATCATTTGAAGAGTATTGCCGATCAAAACAGTTTGCAGAAGATCTCATTCACGATGATTGAGCAGAATCCTAAGATGAAGATCGTAACGGGTATCTTCAACATCTTCCACTTGCTTCCAGCGGCCGCTGCCACATTCCTCAAACAGATCATTGAGAAGGTCATCGAATTGGAAACTGCACTTCGTAGGACGCACTACAGCCCATTCAGGGAGCCACTAATCAAGTACCTCTGCATGTATCCCAAAGAAGCCTGGGACTACTTCGCGCCTAACCTGAAAGACCAGACGCAGGGGCGCTTCTTCGCTCAGCTACTCGAGAACCCAGCAAGCGAAGTTCTTCGCAAGCAAGTCATGGAAGATGTCCCTGGCTTCTTGAGCGCCATGAACCCCGAAGGTAGCGACAAGGAGAAGTGTCAAGCGCAACTTAACGGTATCCACATCGCGTATGCGCTCAGCCAGTCTGAAGAGACGAGCAAGTGGCTTGTTTCCAACGAGGACTTGCGAAAAGGTCTCTTCGAGGCAGGCCGGAGCTTAGAGAAGAAGCTTAGGATAAACTCCCTTGACTCGGAGCTGCGTTTGGCAACGGAACAGGCTGGCGATCAAATCATGATCATCTTCACGACATACCTTAAGCAAGAGCCGAACAATCTGGACTTCTTTTTCGAGCTTGTTGATGCTGTCACATCTGAGGAGTTGAAGGCTTCGCCACGGCTGTTTGACTTCATCTACGAGCAGATCATCTCGAGCGAGTCTGTCGATTACTGGAAGACTATTGTGAACAAGTGTATCGACCTATACACTTCTCGCAACTCCTCCCAGAAGACGAAAACCTTCATCTTCCGTTACATTGTCAACCCCATCTTTGCCATGGATGTGAAACGCAATTGGGACAGCTTGTTCGGTCCGAAGGCCAAGGGTACGAAATTCATGGACAAGGCTATGACAGAAGCTATCCACAGCCGACTCTGGAAACCGCAGTCAACACTGGAGCTTTCTGAGGATACGGCGCAGCTTGGTGTTGACCACTCGCGAATGGAACTCCTCCAGCTCACCACGCTTCTTCTTAAGCACTACCCTGGCATGATCCAGGATGCTCGTAAAGATGTCATCAAGTTTGCCTGGAATTACATCAAGCTTGAAGATATCATCAACAAGTATGCGGCTTACGTACTTATCGCCTTTTTCATCGCTGCGTTTGACACACCTGTCAAGATTGCCGTGCAAGTCTATCAAGCCCTTTTAAAGGCACACCAGAACGAAGGTCGATCGTTGGTCATGCAAGCGCTTGAACTCATGGCTCCCGTCCTGAAGAAGCGCATGCCTTCAGTGCCCGGCGGTGACTCCAAGATGCCTCGCTGGATTCAGTACCCACGCAAGATCTTATCCGAGGAGAGCTCCAATCTGCAGCAGCTGATGAGCATTTTCAACTTCGTGGTCCGTCATCCCGATTTGTTCTACGAGGGCCGTGAACATTTGTCTTCGATCATTATTACAGCTCTGTCGAAGATTGCGCAACCTCCCAATCCCTCAACCGACGCCAAGAAGCTTGCATTGAACTTGATCAGCTTGATCAGGACGTGGGAGGAACGTACAGCAAGCGAAAGTGCAGGTACAGTTGATCGGTTATCCCAGTCGCCACAGGCATTGAAGAGGCGAGCAGATGGATCCGCTGTCAATACCAACTCCTCGCCGAGAGGCTTTGTTGCTGGGTCTGGCATTCGAATGATGCTCATCAAATATCTGATCCAATTCATAGCCTACTTGCCAGAACGCTTCCCGGTCGCTTCACCGAAACCCAAGGATACCACCACGATGGCTACCACATCACCTCAGTCGGCGGAGATCTGCAAGAAGGCTGTGCAGTTGTTGCACGACTTGCTTTCGCCACGACTATGGAACGACCTGGATCTGGACCTCATGCTTAGCAAGAAGATCGAAGAGATCCTTCTTACTGAGATGAAACAGGAGGATAAACCTGAGGTCTTCAGCACCCGCATGATCAACACGCTACAAATAGTCAAGGTCATTGTCAACGTCAAGCCGGATGACTGGGTGCTGCAACGTATACCACAATTCCAAAAGATATTAGAGAAGCCAATTCGATCCGAGAACCCAGACGTACAGGCCAGTTTGCACGCGACTGATGAGTCGGACGACGGCACAATGAAGCTGAAGCCTATCCTGAAGCGGCTTCTGGAGGTCATGCCCGAACCCGTGACCGACGACGAAGGCAACACCGAAGAGTCTCCATCAACTGAATTCGTCAGCTTCCTCGGCACCATTGCTACGGAGGCTCTCTCTAACAGCTCTTATGTTAGCGCCATCAATATCTTGTGGACTCTGTGCCAAAAGCGACCTGAAGAGATCGATCAACATATTCCATCGGTCATGAAGGCATTCCAAGGCAAAATGGCCAAGGATCACCTCGCCGGCAGCAGCGGCATTCCAGGACAGCCAGTACCACCTGCTATGCGCCCTGAAGGAGCCAACCCGCCTACTGACCCACGCGAGGTTGAGATTCAGACTGATCTCGTCCTCAAGACGGTCGACATCCTTGCTGCGCGCATGAACGAGCTGGGCGAAAACCGAAGACCCTATCTCAGTGTACTTGCTTCACTCGTAGAGCGATCCCAAACCAACTCTGTCTGTATGAAGGTACTGGACCTTGTCGAAGAATGGATCTTCCACTCTACCGAGCCTGTGCCGACACTCAAGGAGAAGACGGCAGTCTTAAGCAAGATGCTGCTCTTCGAACACCGGGCAGATACGTCGCTGCTGACCCGCTTCTTGGATCTCGTCATCCGCATCTACGAAGATCCCAAGATTACAAGGAGTGAACTTACAGTACGTATGGAGCATGCATTTTTGATCGGTACTCGAGCGCAGGATGTCGAGATGCGGAACCGATACATGACCATCTTCGACAAGAGCCTAAGTCGCACAGCAGCTAGTCGCCTAAGCTACGTGCTCGCGTCCCAGAACTGGGACACACTTTCTGACAGCTACTGGCTCAGCCAAGTCATTCACTTGATGTTTGGCTCTGTTGAGATGAACACGCCGGCACAGCTTCATTCCGAAGACTTTCGTCTTATGCAACCCACGGCTCTGTTCGGGTCGTACAGTAGAGACCCTAGGATTGCAGACGTCATAGTTGACGATGAACTGGAGAACCTTGTTAATGGCCATCGCCGTTTCTGCAACCAATTGGCCGACGTCAAGATCAAGGACATTTTCGAACCACTAGGGCATCTGCAACACACCGATAGCAACCTCGCACACGACATCTGGATTGCCTTCTTTCCGCTTGCCTGGACAGCGCTTACGAAGGACGATCAGAGCGATCTTGAGAAAGGTATGGCTGCACTGCTTACCAAAGACTACCACTCTCGTCAACTTGACAAGCGACCCAACTGTGTTGCCACCATGCTTGATGGTATCGTTCACGCTCGGCCACGAGTCAAGTTTCCGCCCCACATCATGAAGTACCTCGCTCAAACATACAACGCGTGGTACACTGCTGCTGTGTATATGGAAGACTCCGCTATCTCGCCTGTCGTCGATGTCGAGAAGCTACGCGAGAGCAATCTGGATGCTTTACTGGAAATATACAGTGGTTTACAAGAAGACGACTTGTTCTATGGAACATGGCGGCGACGTTGCCAGTTCATAGAGTCCAACGCTGCTCTATCCTACGAGCAATGTGGTATCTGGGACAAAGCACAGCAAATGTACGAGGCTGCGCAGATAAAGGCGCGCACCTCCGTCTTGCCCTTCAGTACTGGGGAGTACATGCTTTGGGAGGATCACTGGGTGATTTGCGCACAGAAGCTGCAGCAATGGGAAATCTTGAGTGACTTCGCCAAGCATGAGAACTTCAACGACCTCTACCTGGAGTCAACCTGGCGAGTATTCGATGCTTGGCAGAATGCTGAGACACGCGAGCAGCTCGATGCAACTATCAAGGCTGTCAGCGATGCGCCAACACCACGAAGAGTCTTCTTCCAGACCTTTATGTCTCTTCTCAAGCTTCACAACAAGCAGGAGTCGCAACCGGAGTTCCATCGATTGTGCGATGAGTCGATTCAGCTTTCAATCAGGAAATGGCACCAGCTTCCTAGGCGCATCACTCAGGCTCACATCCCACTGCTGCAACACTTCCAGCAGCTGGTCGAGCTTCACGACGCAAGCGTCATCTGCCAGAGTCTCGCGCAGACTACTCAAGTCAACCTTGACGTCAAGTCTCAAGAGTTGAAGTTGCTCCTCAGCACATGGCGTGACCGTTTACCAAACTTCTGGGACGATATCAATGCATGGCAAGATCTCGTGACCTGGCGACAGCACATCTTCCAGCTCATCAACGGCGTCTACCTTAACCTCCTTCCGCCAAACCAGAACAATGCCAGCGGCAATTCCTTTGCTTACCGAGGTTATCATGAGACGGCATGGATCATCAACCGATTTGCGCATGTGGCGCGCAAGCATAACTTGCCAGAAGTTTGCATCAACCAGCTTGGACGCATCTACACCCTTCCCAACATCGAGATTCAGGAAGCCTTCCTGAAGCTGCGCGAACAGGCCAAGTGTCACTACCAGATCAAAGCCGATCTCAATAGCGGGCTGGACGTGATTAACAACACCAATCTTAACTACTTCGGACCCAACCAAAAGGCCGAGTTCTACACGCTCAAGGGTATGTTCTTGGCCAAGTTGGGTCAGAAGAACGAAGCTGGTGAAGCATTTGGTACTGCCTTATACTTCGACATCAAGCTGCCTAAGGCTTGGGCGGAATGGGGTAGGTACAACGACATGTTATTCAAGGAGGAACCTCAGAACCTGGAGAGGGCTGAGGCGGCACTCAGCTGCTACCTTGAAGCAGCGAGTCAATTCAAGAACGCAAAGTCAAGGAAATTGTTGGGACGTGTGTTGTGGTTACTCAGCTTGGACAACCCGGAGAGGAAGTTGGCGGAGAAATTCGAAGAGTTCAAGGGTGACACTCCGGCGTGGTATTGGATAACTTACATTCCGCAGTTGTTGAACAGTCTCTCACGACAAGAAGCCCCCATCGCTAGATCCATTCTCGGCAAGCTGGCGAAGACTTACCCACAGGCGCTTTACTGTCATCTCCGGACAACGCGGGAAGACATGGCGGTCCTCAAGAAGACGCACGAGCAGAAGGAGGCGAAAGAGAAGGCCGCGAAGGCTAAACAACAACAGGGACAGGCATCGCCAGCACCGAAGCAGGCTTCACCAGATACCAGGCCCGGTTCCAGCACAGGTAGCCGACCAACGACTGCAGGTGCTGACATCAAATCTGCTGCGAATGGCACACCGAATGGTACAGTGAAGACAGAAACCGCCACGCAAGATGGCGCACCCGCCCCTAGCGAGGCTGCGCCAGCGCCAAAGAAGCCCTGGGACCACGTCGAGGAGATCAGCGCTATCCTCAAGACAGCGTTCCCTCTCCTCGCTCTTAGTATGGAGACGATGCTGGATCAGATTCAGAAGAACTTCAAGTGCCCTCCAGATGAAGATGCCTATCGACTCATCGTTGCTCTGCTCAATGATGGTTTGTCCTACGTCGGCCGCCAACCAAATCTCTACGCAAGAGAGATCAAGTTGCCAGCATCAACTGAGGCTAACATCACACGTTTCGCTGAGTCAGTTCTTCCGCCTCACATCCGCAAGGCATTCGAGAAAGACTTCGTCACCAACAAGCCGACGATGTACGAGTACATCCAGAAGTTGCGCACTTGGCGAAATCGCTTTGAGGAGAGGCTTGATCGCAGGAAGCTCACAGTCCCGCTCGAACAGTACACGCATCAACTCAGCGAGTTCCGCTTCCTCAAGTTCGACGATGTTGAAGTGCCCGGGCAGTATCTGCAACATCGCGATAAGAACTCCGACTTTGTACGCATTGAGCGCTTCCTCCCTGATGTGGAGCTGGTTCGCGGTGTTGGTATTTGCCATCGTCGCCTCAGGATTCGTGGCCACGACGGAAGCGTGCACCCGTTCGCTATTCAGTTCCCCGCTGCTAGAAGCTCGAGACGTGAGGAGCGTATCTTGCAGTTGTTCCGCATCTTCAACGGTATCCTGGCTAAACGCAAGGAGAGTCGGAGGAGAAATCTCCAGTTCCATCTCCCACTCATGGTACCAATCACGCCTAGCGTGCGCATGGTACAAGATGATGCGTCTTACATCAACATGCAAGGCATCTACGAGGATTATTGCCGCAAGAACGGTATCAACAAGGATGAGCCAGTGCTTTTCAGCATTGAGAAGCTGAGAGCACTCCAGCCAGTAAGTTGTTCTTTATATACACCGGCCGACTACTTGTCTCTAACTCAAACCCAACAGAAGAATCTGGATCATGCCAACAGCATTCGCCTCGAGACCTTCGCTGCCGTACAGGAGAAGTACGTGCCACCGACCGTTATACAAGACTACTTCCGCGCTACCTTCCCTACTTTCGCCGACTTCTGGCTCTTCCGCCGTACCTTCAGCTACCAACTCGCTGCATTGACATTCATGACTTACGTTATGCACATGAACACGCGCTTCCCACAGAAGATCAGCGTCTCACGATCCAGCGGCCGCATCTGGGGCTCCGAGCTCATCCCCAGCATGGCAGTCGGAAAGCCTATATTGCACAACTCTGAACCCGTTCCATTCCGTCTGACACCCAACCTACAAACTCTCATGGGTCCGCTGAACCTCGAGGGCATCTTCGCGCCTAGCGTCATGACCGTGGCACGCTGTTTGATCGAACCAGAAGGCGAGCTGGAGATGCAACTCAGTATCTTCATGCGCGATGAAATGAACCACTGGTTTACGTCGCAGCACAAGGCCAGCCAACTTACGCCAGAGGTGCTAAGGGAAAGCGTGCAGAGCAATAGCGATCTTGTGGTCAAGAGGGCTAGTGCAATTGGTAGTCTGCCTACGGGTGCTAACCTACCGGCTAACCAGACGGTTGTGGATCTTGTGGCTGTTGCGGTGCATCCGGCTAAGTTGAGTCAGTGTGATCCACTTTGGATGGGCTACTTGTAATCGGGTTAAGGTGACTGGATCTTTAGAAAGGTGTATGGTGTTTAAGGGCAAAAAGGATATGTTCAACTACTTAGTGCATGGCGTGGTGGTAAAAAAGAGCATTGGCGCAGTGAGGAGTTCGGGAATGCCTATCAGATTTTGTATTCTTCTGCAAGGCGTTGGTACGATACAAGGATAGTTCTTACTCTGTTAGGACCATCTTTTTCATTTAGTTCTTCTAGGTATGCTTTATGGTGCATCATAGAAGGATTGTCGTGTTACGCTAGCAGGTATCTTGTATCAAATAATACTGAGTTATCAAAAACTTTCATTAGTTTGTGGACTCGCTATGTGATCCTGCAGTAGGTTTTCGATCTTGTCGCCTAGTCTAGCTCCATGCATGTGCTATGCGGCGTGTTATAAGGATGCAGAGCGAGGCTGACTTGAGATGGAATGTATCCCACTATCATGACTGAACTCTTTCCATCTGCACTTTACTGATTCTGTGTTCCCAGTCCACGTTTTGTACCATGTCAGAGTCTGGCAGCCCCTTTCGACAACGCGGAGCGTGATCGCTATCACAACGCTGGTCACAGCCCTCGCATTCACCTTGCAATACTATGCAAAAGTCCTGTATCAAGATGATCTAGCTGGTGAGGACCTCTTGGCTCGCATGATCGATAGTTTGCTCGACGTCGACGCTATACAGTCTGCTCTGCGGCGCTTTGCAGAAACGAGCCAGCACCCCAAGAAGGGTGAAGGGTTTGATAATGAGAAGATCACTAAGGTATCAAAGAAAGCGGAGCAGATGAGCCAGATAGGCATGTGATGTTTGACAGAGTGGAGAGGTGTTCACTCCGAGTGGAAAGCGAGAGAGAGTCCAGAAAGAAGCGTCATGAAATACTTACGCGCGCTAAAGTCCAAGATAGTGGGAGCAGTGGAGGCTTCGTTGTAGAAGCGGAGAAGTATCAGACCACCAGCCGCCATGATGCTGTACTGTGTCGCATGCGTTCTGCTGTTTATCCCCTACGTGATGATTCTATCTATTGGGTGGATGTAATTCGCAGCAATTCTATGTGCTCATCTGGACCTTCCAGAGCCAATTTGGGTTGGGGGTAGCGAAGAAGCAGGCTGGTATGGCGAAAAAAACAGAGAAGCAAGATGCCGCAACCAGCGAGCTGCGCTCGAAGTTGATGCTCCAGTAAGTTTACCACTCTGCCATCACCAGCTATCAAATAGACTGACTAGCGCCACCAGGCAGCTTTTACATTCCCAAGAATCAATTGAAGGTTCGTCTTGAGAATTCAAACAGTCTCGCAATAACCTGATCAAACTCATCTTCGGTCAAAAGAAAGGACATGATGAGAACAGCAAGACAAAGGCGGTTACGCGACAGCGCGTTGTTCTACAGGTGGAGCAGCGGATGAGTGTATAGTCCATTTGGCCAAAGTCCATATCATTTTTCAAAAGACAAAAATGAGGCGGGCGATGCGACATGAATCCTGAGTGACCGGTGTTGAGTTCCGATGAACGGACGTGTCAATTGCTCCCGCGATGGGATGCGATCTGTTTGTTCCCGATCAGCTCCGGAGATTCCGAGATCAACCCGCGTCACGCGTTTCGGCGTAGCTCTTTCCCCTATCAGCCATCCGCACCCATCTTTCGCGAAACGCATCATGTCAGCACACTTAAGTCCGCTGTTTTCGACGTCTCTTCGGAGTAATATGCCACGATAGGGACCCGTTGGAGGGCCCCAGCGCACATCGCTCCTTCATAACGACTTATGAAACATGTTTCCACGAATCCTTTCGTAGCTCACGGCATCGGCATCGTCCCGCACCTGTTCATCTCCACGAACACTCAACTGACAGCAGTCTACGCATCGATCGGGGAAGGCGGCCTCGATTTTTGCGCCACAGAGGTTCGAGGCGCATACGTTGAAACTCGACTGGGTCAAGCATTATGACAAGCATTACCGACATGACGGTAATCGGCTCGCTGCTTCAAGCTTGTACGCGATAGATGAAGTGACGCGCGCCTTAGCATTCTTTTGTGAACGTCGGAGAATTCACCGGCGCTCTGCATAGGAAAAAAGAAATTCTCTGCGGGCTACCTACAGGGTCTTGTAGATCACAGGAAAGGAATCACGAAGCAATGATCCACGTCGCAATCGTTGGGTTTCCTGGGGATGCAATATAGGGGCCCGTCATGCCTGTGGACCCACTCGGAACTTGAGATTAGTTTGGATCTCCACCTAGGATTTGCAGTTGGTCTTTGTGTCTAGGCTTGCCGTACGCGTATATCTCAAGCTCTGCTCTCAGCTCCAAGCTCCTCTAGGTTCCTCATCTCTCGAAAGCCGTTCTTTCGCTGTCGCTCTTTACTATTCCAGTCACTCGTTCCTTGCTGAGCAGGTTTTTTTCCTTTCAGAATGCATTTTTCGCAATTCCTTCTCGCAGCCGCGGCCATTGCACCAGCGTTCGGTCAGTTATCGGGCAAGGTCGGACCTCTGACTACACACGCTGCCAAAACCGCTAAGAAGACTTGTAATGTCATGAACTACGGTGCGAAGGCGGACAAGTCAACAGATCTTGGTCCAGCACTTCTTAAGGCATTCACGGCTTGCAAGACAGGTGGTACCGTCATTGTTCCTTCCGGAGACTATGCCTTGAAGACATGGGTTACTTTTGAAGGTGGCAAGGCATGGGCACTTCAGCTTGACGGCATCATCTATCGCACAGGTACTGAGGCTGGTAACATGCTGTTCGTTAGAAATGCAAACGATTTCGAGATGTTTAGCAGCACCGGCAGGGGTGCTATTCAAGGTATATCACTTCATATGTAAACCTACTTTTCTATAGTACTAATTCGATTGTAGGTAACGGCTACCAGGACCACAAGAACGGCAAGCGGAACGGCGCTCGTCTTCTCCGCATCGAGAAGTCAAACAATTTCTCCGTCCACGTAAGAGATGTCCCTATATGAATTGTATCTAAGATGCATACTGACCTGGTATACCCGTACCTTAGGACATCATTCTGGTCGATGCTCCCATGTTCCACTTCGTCATCAACACTTGCACGAATGGTGAAGCATACAACATGGCTATCCGCGGAGGTGACTGGGGCGGTCTTGACGGTGTGGATGTTACTGGTACCAATCTCTGGTGAGTATCCATGTACCAACTGTATGTGAGACAAGCACTAACTTCGTAACTCAAAATCTAGGGTCCATGACGTGAGTATTGCAACAAGTTTCGCATGATATTATATTACTAACCAGAGCTACAGATCATGGTAACCAACAAGGACGAGTGTGTCACTGTAAAGTCACCTTCCAAGAACGTCCTGATCGAGAACATCTACTGTAACTGGAGTGGCGGCTGCGCTATGGGATCGCTTGGCGCCGATACTGCCATCTCTTCCATCGTCTACAAGAACATCTACACATGGAAGTCTAACCAGATGATGATGGTCAAGTCAAACGGTGGCAGCGGTTACGTCGAAGACGTCGTTTTCGAGAACTTTATCGGTCACGGTAACGCATGGTCTCTCGATATCGACCAGAAGTGGGCTTCGATGAGCGCTATTGCCGGCAATGGTGTACAGCTCAGCAACATGACTTTCAAGAACTGGAAAGGCACGGTCGAATACGGATTGAACCGTGGGCCTGTCAAGGTGGCCTGCGCAGACAAGGTAAGTGGGGACTATACGGATTGTATGTGTGACATCACTAACTTCGTACCTCCGCATCTGCAGGCACCTTGCACGGATATCAACATCCAAGATCTCGCTATGTGGACTGAAAAGGGCAATCACAACATCTACCAATGCCAGAACGGCTACGGCAGTGGTTTCTGCTTGAAGAAGGGAACTGGACCGTCGTATGCAGCGACTACCAGCACTCAAACTGCTGCACCTACCGGCTACTCTGCACCTACAATGAAGGAGAATCTCAAGACGGCCTTCGGTACTGCTAGCCCTATCCCTATTCCGACCATGCCGGCGAGCTTCTACCCGAACACACCGCCAATCACAAAACTTGCTGGTCAGTGAGTACGCATCGCCAGGCGCCTAACACTCGTCATTCCTGACCCAATCTTCCTGTACATATTCACTTCTCGCCCAGTATATATTTTCTAAAACATCCTTACCTTGAAGTTCAGATTCAGAGCGAGCTCTGAGAATTTATCAACTATACTATTAATTTTCACTCACGCCTATGGCTAGGCACCAACGTATCCAGCCTGTGTCTCCTTATGACGAAGAGTTCAATGACACCAACTCTCAGCATCCGTTTTCGCCGCATTCCCTTAAATCCTATCTCATTCCATTACAAGACATGGTAGCTTACTCGATCTTGATCTCCTTGTCAGGCTCAGACATGGACGTTTCCTTCTTTGACAAGCGTTCGGTTTGCCTACTTTCAAACAGGAACAAGAAGAGGAAGAACAGCAGCACCGTACACAAGGGAAAGACTGAATATGTATAGAGATAACAAGCTTTACCTTGCAGCTTACAATAGCTCCTAACAAAAAACCTTATAAAGACTAATAGTATTGTAGACTTCTAGATTTCTATTTAATATCTACATTAATCTTAATACGCTTTATTGTAGTAGGAAGAAGTACCCTGCTCTAAGAAGATGTGGAGTTTCTCTCTTTGATGTAGTGGCAGTCTCTTGAGGACAACTCCGATAATGTGGCTGGACTTCCGGCTAGTGGGTGCTCGATCGCTGCTGAAGGAGGAGTTGTTCTGAAGGAGCTGAGGCGAGCAGTGGACGAGAGTACAGCCGTTGAACAGTCGACTAATGGCAATTCCACGGCCGACAAAGTTTGGTTCTCCGATGGTTGCTCCGAGCCTCCGAGGACTGGGATGCTCAGACTGGACCGCGCCAGGGTGATGGCCGAGCCAGCGCCAAGGCGTGGGATAATGGGCCCATCTCTTGCGTGCTTGTCTGAATCGTGGTACAGGTGGGGTTAGTCGACCGGTTATCCACTTGTAGCCGATTGAAGGCATTTTGGCTGTGAGCATGATCTAATATCTGTGTAATCACGTAGCGTCTTTCATGTCCTTAATGTGAGTTATTGTGCTCACAGCGCACAGAATCTCTTCACGATGATTTTGTCATGGAGTGATGGGCAAGATACAAGCACAATGATAGGCGCGATTTAGCGGGCGACTAGAATCTTCCGTATGAGGATGGAAGGTGTGGAGTAAAGCGGAAGCTGGTGCAGGGCCAGAAGTGATTGTTGAGTCTCGTGACCCGCATCTGAGGCTCGGCGCTGCAGTCAAGCCACCGGTGGCAGATAAGAGCGAGAAGAGGCTGACACTCGACCCATTTCGGTGGGGATACCCAAGGGAAAATACGCCTTGACATGTTGGTGACAAGCTTCAGCCGTTAGCATGCGGCGTGACGCGAAATCAGCAAGCTGCACGGATAGACGTTAGGCGCCTCGAGCGATACGAAGGAATCAGGGCTTGGCGAAAGGGTGCTCGTGAAGGTTACTGGCAGGCCTTTGCAGCGTAGTCACAGGTAGGGTGCTTGGAAACTGGTGCAAAATGACGTTGGTGTTGAGGCTTCGGTACGGAACTCGGCACAATTACGCCTGCGCCCAGACTATTAGCACGGCTAGGCGGATGGTAGGCGAGCGGGAAGCTTGGCGGGACCGAAGAGCTCGCCACTTCTCTTCTTTCACCCCGCTTGCGAACGGGTGTTATCCAACCCCGCTGTCGTCATTCCCGGCGCCAGATGATCAGTTCTGCTGCTTCATCGCTTGTGTTTTGAGTGATGATATTGTCATACAGGGCAAGAGATGGCTTACAGGATCAGATATGCTGTCCGAGATATCCAGAGGCCCTACAACCACACTTCTGAGGCATGCATGCATGTCTTTGTTGACGAGTGCCGAACGTGACCGACGATGACGTTCCTTGTACTGGACCCAAGATTACTACCACCACGCCAAGCTCTCGATATCGCACGGTTCTTGGCCGTCCCCATGGTGTGTGCGCATGCGTTCCAACTTGCTTGTTTAAAGGCACTCGTGTCCCCGGATCTAGATCTTTTGCTTGCACCCATCTTCCTCTTAGCACCGCTATTCATTCACTATGGGCAAGAAGGAACCATCTCTCGAGGGCCACAGGTCCGGTCAGGCCAATGAGCCTCTCTCCAAGCCCGCGCATGCCCTACCATGGAAGGACGTCGTCAACGAGATCAAGTGTAACGCCGAAGACGGTCTGACTACTGCGGAAGCAAAGTCAAGACATGAGAAGTACGGCAACAATGACCTGGGTGACGACGGAGGAGTTTCACCAGGCAAGATTCTACTAAGGCAGGTCGCCAACGCAATGACATTGGTATGTAATTCAACCTGATACCCAATCTCAACAAATCTAACAACTACAGATCTTGATCGCTGCAATGGCTGTGTCTTTTGCTATTCAGTCGTGGATTGAGGGTGGTGTAGTAACCGCCATCATTCTGCTCAACGTCGTTATTGGTTTCGTCCAAGAGTTCAATGCTGAAAAGACAATGGATTCTCTTCGATCGCTCTCCTCTCCGACCGCTACCGCTGCACGAGACGGAAAGACTGTTACCATCCCAACAATTGAGGTTGTTCCGGGTGACTTGATTGAGCTGAAGACAGGTGACACTGTCCCAGCTGACATTCGGTACGTTGAATGGCGCTAAATTAGTCGGTACGTCACTAACTCGCATACAGTATTATCGAAGCACTGAACTTTGAAACCGACGAGGCTCTTCTTACCGGTGAATCTCTCCCTGTCAACAAAGATGGTGATGCCGTCTTCGACGAAGAAACCGGCCCTGGTGACCGTCTCAACGTCGCCTACAGCTCCTCCACCGTCACGAAGGGACGCGCTCGTGGCGTCGTCTTTGCTACTGGAATGTACACTGAAATCGGTTCTATTGCTATGTCTCTTCGACAGAAGGGCTCCCGTGTCCGCGAAGTCAAGCGCAAGCCTGACGGCAAGGCCAAACCGCATCGTTACGCTCAGGCATGGTCTTTGACCGCTGCTGATGCCGTCGGCCACTTCCTTGGTGTCAACGTCGGTACTCCACTCCAAAAGAAGCTCGCACGTCTCGCTATCCTCCTTTTCGGCGTCGCTGTTGTCTGCGCAATCATCGTTCTGGCTGCCAACAGCTTCTCCAACAACAGCGAGGTCATCATCTACGCTGTTGCCACTGGCCTCAGTATGATTCCGGCCTCGCTCACTGTCGTCTTGACCATCACAATGGCCGCCGGTACAAAGCGCATGGTTCAGCGCCACGTTATTGTTCGCAACCTGAAGTCGCTCGAGGCCCTGGGTGGTGTCACCGACATTTGTTCTGACAAGACTGGTACTCTTACACAAGGAAAAATGGTTGCCAAGAAGGCATGGATTCCCGCAAAGGGCACCTACTCCGTTGGCCAGTCCGACGAGCCTCATAATCCCACTGTTGGCGCTCTGACCTTCAACCCCAAGCAGCCCCGACACATCGATCCCGACGTAGACGAGAAGACAGAAACCTTTGAAGAGCTTTTGCAAGACAACGAGCACCTGGTTGACTACCTCAAGGTTGCTTCGCTCGCCAACTTGGCCCACGTCCATCAGACTGATGAAGGTCAATGGAACGCACGTGGTGATCCAACTGAAATTGCTATTCAAGTCTTTGCCTCTCGCTTCAAGTGGAACCGTCTCGAACACACCGGCGGAGATTCGCCTGCCTGGAAGCAACTCGCTGAATTTCCATTCGACTCTGATGTCAAGAAGATGTCCGTCATCTTCGAAGAGACCGCTAGCTCTAAGAAGTTTGTTTTCACCAAGGGCGCTGTCGAGCGTGTCATCTACTCCTGCACCCGCGTTTACAACGATGAAAGCGAAGCCGGCGTTGATCTTGACGACGACTATCGCGAGGAGATTTTGGCAAACATGGAATCTTTGGCTGCCATGGGTCTTCGTGTTTTGGCACTTGCAAGCAAGGAGTACGACGGTCCATCACCAAGCAAGGGCGAGGATCTCGATCGTGAGAGTATCGAAAACGGATTGACCTTCCGCGGTCTTGTTGGACTGTACGACCCGCCCCGACCCGAGACTGCCGGCTCTGTTCGTCAGTGCCAGAAGGCCGGTATTGAGGTTCATATGCTTACTGGTGACCATCCCGGGACTGCGCGCGCAATCGCTATTGAAGTTGGCATTGTGCCTTCAAACATGAGCACTCTCCCTAAGGAAACCACTGATGCCATGGTCATGACCGCCTCTCAGTTCGATAAACTCACCGACGATGAAATCGACGCCCTTCCACTACTTCCTCTTGTTATCGCTCGATGCGCCCCGAACACCAAGGTTCGTATGATCGACGCCCTACACCGACGTAAGGCTTTCACTGGTATGACTGGTGATGGTGTGAACGATTCTCCATCCCTCAAGCGTTCAGATGTCGGTATTGGTATGGGTACTGGATCCGATGTAGCCAAGGATGCTTCCGACATTGTTTTGACCGACGACAACTTCGCCTCGATCCTTAACGCTATCGAGGAGGGCCGCCGCATGTTCGACAACATTCAAAAGTTCATTCTTCATTTGCTCGCCCAGAACATTGCGCAAGCCTGCGTTCTGCTCATTGGTCTCGCATTCAAGGATCAGAGTGGGCTCTCAGTCTTCCCAGTGTCTCCCGTCGAAGTCATGTGGATTATCATGATCACGTCATCTCTTCCCGACATGGGTCTCGGTTTTGAGATCGCAGCTCCCGACATCCTCACTCGACCCCCTCAAAATGTAAGTTGTCTTCATCTCAAAATAGACAGCCGAACATGTACTAACAACAAAAATAGCTCAAGCGTGGTGTCTTTACTCTGGAAGTCATCATGGACATGTTCGTGTACGGTCTCTGGATTGCTGCCCTCTGTCTCGGTGCTTTCTCCCTAGTCATGTTTGGCTGGGGCGACGGCAACCTTGGAAACGGCTGCAACGAAGGTTACAACGACACTTGCGACACTGTCTTCCGCGCTCGTGCGACGACTTTCGCCTGCCTCACTTGGTTCTCCGTCTTCCTTGCATGGCAAATGTTGGACATGCGCCGATCGTTCTTTGCGATGCAGCCAGGCTCGAAGAAGTACTTTACGCAGTGGGCTATCGACGTCTGGCGCAACAAGTTCCTTTTCTTCTCCATCGTCTTTGCCTTCGTTACCATCTTCCCTGTCTTATACATCCCTGTGATCAACGACACGGTCTTCAGGCACAAGGGCATTAGCTGGGAATGGGGAATTGTCTTCGTTGCTACATTCCTTTTCTTCCTCGGTATTGAGTCCTGGAAGTGGGGCAAGCGCGTCTTCTTCAGGAGACGCGACGCTAAGAGGGGCGTCGCCAGACGAGGCTCTGTGGACCTTGAGCAGCGCGTCTTCGAGCGATACCTCAGTACCGCTATCAGCACCGATGGTGAGGATGGCGAGAAGAAGTCGTCTGCATGAGAGAAGAAGTTACGTAATGAGGTACGATATCTTTCAGACAAGCCTCAATTTGAGAGGCACTAATGTTTTGGATCAGGCTTTGTCCTGCAAAAGGCGTTCTTGGTTTGTTTGCATAGCCTGCGATTGCGATACCTCATGCCATTATGGCTGCGATCAAGGCTTTTCATAGTCAGAGTACGTGTACATAGTTATTAAGATACCATCATGAACAAATTAAATTGTCACCATCCATCTTCGCAACGATCAACATGTTCACTTCAAAAATTTGCTGAAACATTTCCAGTATCCTCAACTATGATCGTACATAGCAAAAGCAGCGCTAGTCAGCCTCGGTCGAACGCGTAGTCTTCAGGCGTGCCTTCTTCGGAGGCTGGCGCATGCAGCCCCGCCACGACCCACACCATCCCCACTCCGCCATGCCATGCCATGCCAAACGTTTCCGCTCCATCACACCAAGACCGAAAACGTGCGTTCAGTCTAGGCGCCTAGCATGCGCTAAAGATTTAGTCTGCATATGGAGTACGTCAGCCGAGGCATGCTGTGGCCTTGGAGTCGGCCTGAGCAGGCTGAAAAGGTGAGCTGATGGCGACTGGGGATCGTGAAGTGTTCTATAGAAGTATTGGAGGAAAATCGGACTTCATGCGGATTAGTGATTGAGCGGTTGGATGGGCAGAGATCTGGGTCTAGTGGAGAGTCGATTGGGCTTATTGCTTGGGTTTGCTTTTTACCGCTACCTGATGGCCGTGTCGCGCTTTCGTGCAGTACTGCGAACGAACCAACTTTCCGCGACGACTCTGCGAACGGTCAGCTACGGAATTCGAGTTTGTAGAAATATTGGTCCGCAATAGAATAGCGACGACGAATGCAGCTCCGGCGTAATTTAGCCGTCCATGTCCATGTTACGTATGGGCAGCAAACACAGGCCAATGCCAAGCTCTCTCAAGCGCTATCAAGAAGTGGCGAAAAGACGTGGCTGTGGAGGCTGAGCTTGCGGACATGTTGGTGTCATGGAACGCCCGGATGAGTGGGATCCGGGGTAAGAACTAGCTAGGTAATCAATGTTAAGAGTGAGCACTACGCACCTTGGACAACAACTCTTCAGCCGCCGGAAATACTTCTGTCCAAACGAATACTAGACACATTGTACGAGTATACGACATACGACGGAAGAATTAGCCATCGCAGTGTGTAGGATCCCTGGGACGCGCAATCGTTTGGTGCCGGTATACCCGCTTCCTTCGCCGTCATCGCACGCTGTTCCCCGCAACAGGTCGAGGTCGAGCCACATCGCATTCCCCAATCCCCCACACATCAACCGAACCACGTCCGAATCTTCAAGTTACGAAGAGATCGAGAAAGCGCGATGCCTGCGGTATCTAGTCACGGATTCGTGCGCACGCTTGAAGCGCGAGAATGGAGGGATACAGTTGGTCAGTCCGGCATGACACCGACGGCTTTTAGTTTTCTGATTCCCGTCTTCGTTGTCGCTATTGTGGCGCCGTTGTAAGTCGTGTTCCGTCTATTCCGCAGTATGTTGAGCCGAAAGGGAAATAGCACGTAAGGGGTGTTTCTGCCTGGAAAGCTGGGAAATGACATTAGGCTGATGATATTCGATGATGTAGTTTGTGTATATTCTGCATCCGGAAAAGACGGCAAGCCGTCCCTGTTCCAGCGCGTCCACCACCCAAGACGAAGAAGCCGGCACTTAGACGTGCAGAAGCAAGAGAGAAATTGAACGAAGTCACCGAAGTAGTGAGCCTTTCCGGAACCACATCTCGACAAAGCCATGATGGCGCAGAGAACGACGAGGGGAGATTGGAAGTGGTAGAGTCGCGCTCGGTTTTAGAACGAGAATGGTGAGTTTCGAAACACAGCAATACTTGCGGAAAACTACATTCTAACAATTCTGCGCAGCGCAATATGTCTTTCCACTCTTCACGCTCCCGCCCCACCCGAACCCGCCAAACTTTCCCCAGAAACCCCAATAACTGATGATGCCGCCCTGCCCGCCTCCCTTCCACAATCCGACTCCCTTGACCCATCAGCCACAACCACCACTACACCCGAAAATGAAACCATCCTCAAGCTCTCCGTCTGCGGTCACGAATTCCATGCAGGTTGTTTAGTCTCTTGGTTCGTCTTGCGCAAAACAAGCTGTCCGATATGCCGATCCACGTATATGAGCAAGGAAGCCATGGAGCAGCATGATGAGGAAGAAAGGATAGCTTTAGGCGGAGATGTGACGCCCGCGGTGTTGGAAGCCGGAACTGCGGTCCAGTCACAGGCAGTGCCAGTAAGCAACTGGCGTTACTTCCTGCATGGAAGTGGCATAAGGAGACACCAAGAGACACAGGCACAGGCACAGGCTCAGCCTGCAGTGGAGCTACAGAACCGCACTCCACAGACGGTAGAGCAGCATGGGGCTGATGCTGCAGTAACAGCAGAGGCGGCAGTGCAGCAGCCAGAGCAGCCTTCTAGGCCAAGGTGGCGGAGGTTGTTGAGAATGTGAGCGTTAAACGACAAGAGATGGTTATGATAAATGGAGAATGATGGAACGATTTGAGACTGTTTTCCTTTCGAGATACCCCTACCGGCGTTCCGACGTTTAGTTTGCGATGAAGTCAATACACTTAGACTTGAACTTTTAGTTTATATCCCTATGCATTAAAACCTACTCTAAGGGTACCCGCCAGGTTTCCTGCTTGAGACTCTTCAGCTCAACTAAGATGTGTTCTTCAGAGTAGGCCCTACTTGTGCGTACAGATTGTAAGATACAATTCTCTGTCTTACGCTCGCGCAACATTTCCTCACGAGCCAAACCAAAAGTCGTTCTCGTTCTGTGATACACCTGCAGGGTCAAACGAGCCATTACCGGCTGTCACAAGGCCCTCGAATTGTCCCCAACTAGCAAAATCTGTCCAATCGAGTAGGTCAAATGTGAAGGTTGCGTTAGTCGTACCAAATGCTTCTGCACCGTTTGGTGTCGGTGGGATATTGTTATTGCCAGTAGTGTTGTAAAGCAGATTTGACAGATTTGACGACGGTGGTACAGCATCGGGAGTTGGTGCAGACAAGGGCAGTGGAAGAATCGGGTTATCGTGGAAGCTGGGGTTGTCGCGTGTAGGCGTCTACGATGTGAGGTCAGCATGTGGATACAGAGAGCTTGTACTTGCCAACAGAAATTATGAACTCACATCAACCGATGCTGCGGGCGTCGATAGCCTCCCTGATTGCCGTACCGCCTCAGTCCTAAGTTCTTCCAGGACAACACAGTAACGGTGCGCAAGGCAGTCAGTGTCGCTGACTGTCTCCAATTGTCTTTGACACTTTACACCTGCCTCAAAAAAGCCTTCGCACTCTACTTTAGTCTTCACACCCAAGCCCTGTTGAATGCGATGGATGTATAGCACTACCACTGCACAGAATGCATAGTACTGGGTAAACCAGAAAGAGCGGAAGAGATTGGACGACATAAATACATCGTCTACGAAACGTACCAGGGACATGGCAGCTTCGAGACAGGCAGTGATGTTGGCTGATGCGTCGTAGTTTGTGGCACTCCAGTTTGGATGGGTTGGCATATGCGTCAAACTCGCGAAATCCCTCAGTAAGAAAGGTCGGTGAATAAGTAAAAGCGCGTGGTGGTACGCCAGATTGAGAACGGAACGCTGACGTTGGTAGACTGGTATGAGCAGCTGGTTGTCGATATGTGCATTTGAGGCGGAGCCAGAGAGGAATCCGACCAGCGAGTTGTGCCACGCGTGCAACTCCGAAGTGTACTTCGCCGATAGCTCAACGCGCAAGGCCAGACTGGGTGGACGAATCGAATACAAATCTCGTAGCACGAGAGAGACGATGCGTGTAAGTTTAATGTGCTCAACTGGGGCTGTCATCAACGAATAAGTAGATCGCGTTGGGAGATTGATATAATTCGGATGGAGGTCATTGTCATTGACAATCGTTGGGAGCTCCTAAAAACTCCGAGTTAGCTACTGAAACCTGTTCCCACAGTACCAATATCAACGTACCTGATCGATATCCTCGTCTTTGAAGGTTCGTGGCCGACCAAGAGCAGCAGCAAGGTACTTATCAAGTGAGTATGCAACCCAGAACAAGCGTCTTCGACTCTCAATTTCCACATAGTCCACCTTGGTTGAGGGATCGCATTTCCTACCACGATTCAACCCTATGGCAAGGGCGAGATGTGACAGCGTGCCAAAGAGGCTCCAACAGTGGTTGATGCGGGACTGTGTCAGAAGGTAGAAGCACTGTAACAATCGTGCCTGGACACTCGCTAGTCTTACAGCGCCACGTTCTCCAGAGAGCAGGTTTTCAGCCGCGCGGAAAAATCGAGCGCTGGTAGATGTTAGTCGGTGTCGTGACAACGCAGGGATCAACAAACCTGCTAGTTTGCACTGAACTGCCAGGCGGCATATATGCCTGTGCTTGCGCGAATACCACCATCAACAACGCTGCCTTCGCTTTGCCGTCTTCCTTACTCCTCATTTCACCTTGGGTCTCATAAAACTCCTCTACAAGCTGTTCGATCGTCGGTCGATGTAGGAAGCGATGAGTGGGTGCCGCGTATTCGAAATATCGTTCTACGAGCCTCTGCGCATCAGGCTTCGGTGGTGGGACGAATATGGAAAGATCAAACTCTGGGAGCGGAGCGTCTCCGAAAGTAAAGATGGTAGAGTCATGTGAGAGGGAAGAATTCTGATGCAAACGCTTCTGAATACGAATAAGGAAGGAAGCTGCGCTCGAAGATCCAACGTAGTGACCTTCTTGGTCTCTTTGAGCTCCTTGTGGCACAGGAGAGTCTCGAGAGGAAGGGCGACTGTTGGCATTGGTAGCCATGTTGAGAGTATCTGGATTTGGATTTGGATTGTCGGAATTTGAGTAAGACGGTGGATCGATCGGAGTTGATGGGCTTGGGTATATACGTGGGTATTGCATTGCCGATGCTGCATACGTATCTTTCACAGGTGGTTCTGATGTTAAGCTTTCTTTTCGTCCTTGTAGTAAGGGATCCGTAGCTACCGCGGAATCGTCGACAATAACAGAGGGAAGTCGACCTCGCGTATACGATGCAGTAAACTCACACGGCAGCCCTGATCTCAGACAGAGCGCACAAGGACATCTTCCAGTACATCTTACTTTTTTCCTGGTTCTGATGTTAGCGAGTCCTTGAATACATGCAGCACAGCACGTGCACGCCGAATTTCAACAAGCTCACTTCTTACATCGGTCGCAAGCCCTACTGACTCTGCTCCTCTCCCGCTCTTCTCTCCTTCTCTTGGCAGGTGGTGATTTTGGCTCATCTGGGCTTGCGCTTGCGGGCGTGGCGGTTGTGACCGCTTCAATACCATTGGCGGGAGTCCATCGAGCAGTCGACACATGCTTCGGCTCGGCATCAGCAGAGGCTCCTTGAGAAGAATTTCTTCCGTTCATGATCGGATCTGTGTAGTCTTTCGTCCCTTGACGATGTTCATGTTCACAAAGTGGAGTCAGAAGTCCAGAGCTCGGATAAGAACAGATTAACAGCCGGAAAAGCCGTGCGCTAAACCGAAAATGATGCATCGCGCACGAGACCTCAGCAAGCAGGACTATGATGCGATAAGGAGCTCAGATTTAATCTGTAGTACTCTCAGAGTGTGTGTGGCTGATCTATTCCTCATCCAAGCCTACGTCTACTCCGTGCCTCATGAGCGCAGCCATTTCCCCTCTACCCATGCCAACCCCTCCTTGAGCCACGGCTCCTCGTCCTCCTTGATTGGGATAGTGAAGCCATGTTCTTGTCCCGGCCTAATCTCCAACTGAACCTCAATATTATCTCCTAGCGCTTTGCACTTCTCCACAAACTTCTTACTATCCTCTACACTAACCGCTGAGTCCACATCGCCATGGACAATCCACGTCGGCGGCAACCATTTCTTATCCTCAATAAGCCCGATCGGCCACATCTTCTCATCTTTTCCGAAATAAGTGAGGTAGTGTCCGTATGCCGCTAAAAGGTAGTTCAATGACAATCTTGCCGGTGGCCATCCTGAAGAAACAACAACACCTGGCTTGATGGTCGAAATATGCTCAGCCAGCTCGGATTCTGGAGGAGAAGGTGCGTCGAAATACATGTCACTTTTCTCGATACGCAGATAGTTTGTCATGGGGAATTCTGCCAGGATAGCTTTGATGCTGCCGCGAGGCTGAGTGAGACCTGACATCAAGGCCATGTAACCACCCGCCGACTCGCCTGAGACCAGGGTTTTCTCGTAGTCTAGCTCGATACCGCCTCCTTTCCTGTGAGAGGCAAGAAAGTCGCTGACTGAACCTTTGTTGAACCAGGTCCAGAAGTCACTTAGATCTTCGAGGATGTCTGCGCCACTGTGTTCAGGAACAAAGCGGTAGTTGGGAGCTACCACGATTGCGTTGTTGCGGTGGATGAAGGGGACGAAATATGCGCTGAACCAGCCGGGAAAGAGACAGTCTCCTGTAATCTGCAATTCGTCGTCAGTGTATAGCTCGTGAGTTCTTGCGATGATAGTGAGGCGGCTTCAGAATCAACATACCAGTCCACCGCCGTGGAACTTGACCATAACTGGAGACTTTCCGGGCTTGAGGTCTTTCGGCACGATGATACCAACTTCGATTTCATGTTCGCCGATCTTCTTATACGAAGTCCGAAATACGTCGAAACTGTCGAATCGATTGGTTTCCGTCGTGTCGTCAAGGGGTGCCATGTTGTTGTTCTTATTCTTCCTTCTTCTGAGGTGACCTCGAAATGTTGCAAGAGGTGCTGATCTGGGTGACTCTGGACTGAGCACACGCCGGGAATTTAAGCTTTCTAAACTACGGGCGTATTCTCACTATCAAGTTAACGACTTTACCAGTTGTGACTAGTAGTGCTGCTTTGCGTCTAGGTACAGTCGGTCTAGCGGGGTAAGTAAGACGGAATCTCGCCTTCCGGTCGATTTTAGAAGCGAGGAAGCACGACTAGAGGGGCGCTTGTCAACAGTTCATAGCAACGATGGACGAACATGAGTAATTCATCATTTCTTCCTAGTAGTGTTTTGTGAAAAACGTATTGTAATCATACTGCTCATGAGTAATTATTTGCAAAGCCGTCCCAGATTGGACAAGCTTAGGCTACTAAAGTACTGGAGACTTTCTGGAATAGGTCGGCCTTGCGAAGAATTACCGTATTACTCATCAGTTACTCTGTTTCAACTGTGACATGAGTATATGTGATTACTCATTCCTGAGTAATTACTGCCAACTGTCCGAACATCCTGACAAACTTTCTAGATACTCTTCGTAAAAGTACCAAGTAAGATCGACGAGTTCGCCGACTATTTAGACATGCTTGCGCGATTAGAATCGGGCATCTTATTCGTAGATATCGGCTTTGAAGCATACGCACTGCTCGCGGTGGACCTCTTAACGAATGGCCAAAGGCATGGCATCGTAGAGATTTATGCTGTACGCTGACCTGTTGCCTTCCGTAAGGTAACGTGACTAAAAACTTCACGGATAATATCTCGCAGCACATAGATCTAGAAGAAAGAAGATCCGAGTTACTAGCAACTGCATGTCTTCAATTGTCCTAGCTCATCTCGATGCCCACTTCCTGCCTCCAATGTCCAACAAGCACCCTGCAGAGTCCGTCATCTTTACACCACATCTCCGTTCACCTTGCTCATTCTTCTGATTTGTGCGAGTCCTCCAGATGACGGATGCGTTATCGTGAGCTGATCATCAGAGACGCGCGATAACGTAGTCAGTCCACGCGTGTCCCAGGGTGTGTAACGGGGTATGGACCGGTAGGTGCGAGCAGGATTGGGGTAGGTTCAAGGATGAGAGAAACTAATTTCCACCACGAAGAGCAAGAACTAGATGCAGTGTGGCGCCGCCCTCGAGTTGGTAGTCTGCTGCAGTCTTCTCGTCGTTCCTGAAAATAATTATGTTAGCCTTGTCTCGACTATGTCGCATACGCAGGCAAGGACTTGGGATTGGCGAAAGGTGGACGGGGTCTAGAGACTTTTAGACATACATTTGCTTTCCTCCGTAGATGAGACGTTGTTGCGCGGGCGGAATTCCTTCCTTCTCCTCAACGCGCTCCTTTATCCTCGAGACCTGTGTACTGTCAGCGTTACGCTCCTCGAATTTGCCGCACATCGCTCTCCGTGTTTCCGGTTGGCAGACCAGTGATGCCATGTGCGTATGCGGTGACAAAAGTTGGGTAGGTGTACCTTGTAGTCAGCCTCGATATCAAGCTCGATCTCCTTGCCAGTGAGGGTTCGCACTCTGTCGCCTGTCAGCAACTCTGCATCTTTTTTTCTTGCTCCCATGTGACACCCATCAGGAGTCTGACGTACTTGATCTGCATCTTGTCGGCTCTTCTATTGTTTGTGCGCCGGCGAGTGTCTCGAAGGTGTCGCGAGTGTAGCGGTGGCGAGCTCCGTAAAGGGAAGTCGAGGGTGTGAGAGCGTGAGGGTGAGCTCGTGAGCTGGGTAAGTAGGCGTGGGTATTTCTACGACCAGGTGATGGCGCAAACGTTTGTAGGCAGCAAAGTGGTTGTGGATTCCCTTGGGCGATACCGTCAGGCTGCAGTGACGGCGAACCACGGACCATCATGGTGGGGTCCACGCAAGCGCCACGAGGCGGGGCAGCTTGCTGTGGCTGACGCGAGCTAACCCTTTACGGAGGTGGCTCAATCTCGAGTGAGATATGTCTACACTGACATTACTTAAGCTTTGAGAAGAAAAAAGCATCCTAACGCTTATGTGTTGCTCAGCGATGTATACCTTCCTATAGAGCATGCGATGGCTTTTAGTCTTCTTCAAAATACCAAGACCAGTGTTTGGCTGCTGACGCAACACAGTGGAGAGGAGTAGTTCACGTTCAGCTCTTCTCCTCACGACTCTCAACCCAAGTCGTACACCCAGACCATTTGACTAGCAGTAGTAGTCAAGCATCCACACCGCTCTTGTTCAAGACGCCCAAGTCCGCATGAAACCCCTTTCTCACTCCAAGCATCCTCGTTCGGCTCCGAAAAACAGAAGAAGAAAACAGTACACAGTCCTTTACGATATCCCGGTGCATAAACCTGACTGGCTAAATACCTCCACATCCCGAGCAGATCATCCGAAGGACCAAGATGCTCTGACTTCCCAATCAGCGTAATCACACCACTACTGCAAGTCCAAGGTGAAACACCCACCGCCGCAAGGCCTCATCTCACCGCCCCTTGCATGATGCACAGCTAATCCAGAAATACAAGATGCAGGAAAAGAAAATAAGACTGATGTATGTGACATGTCATTCGAATGGGTAATATCTGCTAGAGTCAGGTTATTACTGGATAGGGAAAGACGTAAGTGATCAACTGCCAAGGGCACTAAACACGGGGTTGTGACTATCCGACAAAAATATCTCATGCCGATCTTTGGTATACACAACGGCCATGCAACGGCGTTGCCGCGAACGCTACCTACTTGCTTGCATCTAATCCCTGCCATCTAACCTCCTTCATCCTTGCCCGAACCGGAGATTCTCCATAATGCAAAGTCGCCACTCCAAAAGTATGTACATGTCTAAGAAGAGAAAACTAAACTGACTACCATCAGGCGAGCCAGGGGATACCGAATGTAAAGCCGAGTGAGATGCCGAAAGAGTGCCCACCTAAAAATGGGGAACAGGGGTATATGTGCACAATCTGATAGCCAACAGAGAAGCCCAATGTGACGCTTCGTGGTGATAGTACTGAACAAAGGAAAGTGAACCTTGATGTCTGCGAACAGATATGCTGCCGTTGAGAACGTCTCAGGGATGTGTCCTCGTCCTGCGATGCGGTATTGATGCGGTGTCGGAAGGTACCTGATATGCCTGATACCATGAATGGTAACCGATTCGATAGTGTACTTGACAAGAAAAGTTCGGCCAGAATGCCGGACGTAACACGGGCCCCCAGTGCCCGACTAGGAAGAACAAGTCTAAAGTTGTTTGCAACAGGAAGCTTACACCGAAGCCCATATCGAAAAGAACACCGGGTATAGTACAGGAAAGGATGAAGTGTTCGGATCCAGCCGTTCAAATCGAGTTATGCAAGTCAAGTCGGCGCTTAACGAGCATCGTTATGGGCCGTAGCCAAGAAAAGAACTTGATGCAACTGGTTAAGTATAGCAACAACAACAACAACCGAAATCGTAAAGTGAGCCACGCGACAAGGCGAACGAGCAGCGACAACGGGGATAGTGCCGACGCTGCAGCCGTTGCGAGATGTATCCAATGTATACAAGTATCGCATTCTTCGCAACGTGCGGGGTTCGCAAGCGCAGAACAGCAACCGGGATGCGGCAATACTGCCGCTGACAAAGGCACCAAGCTGCATGGAAGATGATGCAGCCGGCAGGCGGGGAGGCGGAATATGCAGAACAGCCGCCGTCTGATAGCACAACCTAGCTGCGGTATGCCAACAAGAAAAATGTTGAAGTCATACTAAGACTCGACTGGGTGTCGATGCGCCGCGATAAAACGCCAGATATAACCAGCATGTTCGATTGCAAAAAGGAAAAGGCCCAGATATGCAGGCTGGAAAGTAGATCGGGGCCTTTCTCAAAGGGGTAGACGGCAGGATCCGGAAATAAACTCCGTGTCCGCAATACTAGCAGCAAATCTGATGTCGTCTTGGGAGCAATCTAGATCCTACTACCAGCAAATAAACACTGGGTCGAAATGCGTATGTGTGTATGTGCAGCTGTGGAAACGCGACATTGCGATGTAATTTCATGAGATGAGGGAAGACGTTCCTTGGGTGGGGTTGCGGGTCCGTGCACTAAGATTTTGAGATGAAGTGGAAAGGCCGGAATTTGGAGGTCTGGAAGTCTCGATGTTCTTTGTCTCATTTCGCTTGCGGATCTGTTGTAAATAATCGCACCTTTTTTGACCTTCTGTCAGCAAGCAGGTTCTTGATGCCCGATTGCCATGCCAACTTCTTCCTTCCTCGCGTTCGCGTTCGCTCGGATGAATTGCAATTGGAAGCGAGCTTATCGAAGGACCGATAGCGATCACAATAGCAACCAATCCGAATTCGAACGGTTGCGATGCTGAAACGACGTCCCAATCTAATGGTCACCAGATTCTCTCTTGGGAGATGACGTATATCCTCGATCCCATTGCTGATGTGTTGCGTATTTTGGTGTTTCAGGTTGAGCAGATGTTGATGTTGGCGCGTAGTTCTGTTGACCGTGGCCTCGGGTACCATCTCGTTGAGGTGATGTTCCATATGTCTGATCAGATTTGGATTTTGCCTTGTCATCTGCATCTCTTGCTTCTTCTGCGATGTCGCCTTGTCGCAGAATTGTCTCATGCGCAAGGCCAGAAACGGTGCCTCGCCGGCTTAGTGAACCACTGGAGCCCTCCGCCGCTCGTGTGGATGCATCTGATCGGTTTCGTGCATGTCCTCTTCGTCCAGGTGTCGATGTTGATGACGACGATATGTGCGAGAAGGACGGCGATGTGTAGGATCCAGGCGCCGATGTAGGCGGCGGTGGAGGGGGGTGAGGGCCTTGAGCCTTGCGCTTCTTTGGGGAGCTGGTGTATTCTAGGTCAGACGCATGCGACGCAGCACGTTGCCGTGACTGGTGAACAGGCGAAGTTTTGTATTTACCTGATGGCGTAGCTGGCGGGTTTCCACTTGCACTCTTTTGTTCCGAAGACGATGATGGTGGTACCCAATGATGAAAATATATGGAAGGGGAGGACTGCTCTTGTTGTTGTGTTTGTGTCTGCTGCAGTTGCTGCACACCTGCTGGGGCCGCAGGAGGTTGCTGAACAGTCATCTCGTTGGTAGTCAACCTGGGCAATTGTGACTGAGGTAATGAGCGTTGGGCTGTTGCGGCAGGACCACCAAGACCAGCTTGTGCGGCTCTTGAGCGCGGTGATGTTTGTCCACCAGTGTAAGCACTGGTAGAGAGTGGAGCATGCTGAATTTGTGTCTGTAGAGGCTGACCGGGTAGGACTGACGTCGGAGGCAATATCGTTGTTGGAGGTTGCGCCTGACCAGCATACACTGCTGGTTGTTGCTGTCCAATTAATCGTGGGTCCCTTCGAAGATCTGGAGAAAGTTGTGCCTGAGCCTGAGCCTGCGCTTGTTGGTGAGCAGCTTGAACTTGAGTAGTATACTGTTGTATCCACTCTGCACTGATGTTTGCAAGGTTGCCTCCTCCGATGCCAGCAAAGATTATTGGTACTAGGTGAGGCGGTACTCCTCCCTGCATAGATTCTCGAAGCATAGACTGTTCGACCTTGCGTTGCTCCAGTCGCAACGTTTCTTGTCGTGTCTTTTCCTCCTCTTGCTTGCGTCTTTCTTCTTCGGCCTTCGCCGCTAGCCAATTCTTCATTCCATCTTCGGCACCTTGCCACTGCGAAGGTGCTGGAGGTAACTGGCCTAATGACGACGACATCGATGGAGGTCCTCGAGCCGGATCTGGTAGCGTCATCGCCGAAGGAGGAGGAAGTCCTCGGTGAGGTGTGCCCATGTTGTGAGAGGAGTTGACTTCCTGTGCAGGTGGGGATAGCCCACGATGATGCCTATTTGAGTATCGAGCAGCCGTGGAAGAAGAAGAGAAGGCTGGTGAGTAGGCATGGGGTTTGAATTCGAAATCGGACTTGACCGGGTTAGAGAGTGTGAGCAACATGGAGGAAGGTGGAGCCGGTGTGGTAGATGTGGTAGGAGCAATTCAACATTGAAATGAGTCGTTGGGTGGCGCCAAAACTCGTAGGTCCGGAAGGAGAAGGAACAGTGTACATACTTATTCACCAGAGTACGTTTTACCGGGACCACCATCCACAAATGGCCCGGGATGGGATCGTAGCCGTTGCCTTAGGGCCTAGGCTTAATATGTCCCTGGCAAAGTAGCCCCGATTTGATTCGCGGCCAAAGCAGGGCGACAAAGAGCACAGGAAGAGTAACAGGCGAAGCTGCATGCAACGAAGATCAAGCCCCGTAGAAGCTCGCGTGGGCCGGCGTGGTCGATCAAGTCCAGATTGGAGAGAGGCAAGTGAAAATGGGCAACGGTGGGGAATGGTGTACGAGAAGGGAAGAGGGCCGACTGGGATTGGACCAACCGACGGGGGTGACGGCCGCAAAGGCTTGAGAGTAGCACGAGCAAACGGCAGGCCGTACGTCAATGACGGGCGATATGTGGCGTTCGACAGGCGAAGGTGGGAGGGGACCTTTGCAGGGATATGCATGAAACGGGATGGTTGTCAGCAAGTGCAATGTTGTTAGAAATGGTAGTGCGCGTTCTTGTAGTCCCACCATGTGACGCGCCTGGAGAAGGACTCCGGCTGATGCAAACTCTGGTAGCGGTTCCCACTTGTGGCGCTGGCATTTGCCGCAAAACTACTTACGTCCCGTTTGCCAGCCAAGCAAGTTCAGCTTGAAAGCAGCGACGGTAGTTTGATAATACATTGGCCTGAAGCTAGACATAAAGAGTTGGCGTCGCGGATACTTCCACATTGGCCTCGATCAACCCATGGCCCCCGTATGCTGTAGAGCAGACAAAGTGAAGCTCAGACACACCAGGTGCTACCGGCTTGTGCTGTACAATGACAACGAATGAGCCCGAAGACTTCGGCATCATTCTGGTCGTACTGGACCGCTCGCATGTTGCTGTCGTAAGGCCGCAGCTGATGACCGCAAATTGGATTACAATGCCTCGACTAGGCAAAATGGCATCAGGCACGCATTCGGTAATTAGTTGTGCAGCTCTGCTCTGGACCACCTTCGCTGCTGGGTTCATGGTATCTGTGCCTGTGGCTGAACGCGAGGCTCAAGGCATGTGGACTGGATGGCGTGGCCTGGGATTCTGAGCCGTGCGCTAACACCAGCCAGCAGGGTCAAACGTCCGGGAGGAAGCGAGCGCAAGATTACCGCTGCCCGGATTGTGAACTGGCTCAACCTAGCTCGTCCAGGTCGCATGATAGGAAATGAAGGGTCGTCACCATCGTCAGACCTCAGCCATGTAATATCCCGAAGTGGAAACGTGAAATGAGATTTTCGTGTTCTAAGAGCCGCCGTGCTTCATGACGAAACCTTGGAATTGGTGGAAATGTAGCCTGTGGCCCTGTTGCAGAACCTGTTCCGAGTTTAGTGTAATGCCCGAACAAGTATACACATGCCGTCATAGCGTCAACGGCTGAGGGTGCTTTGATGAAAAGCACAATGGTGGCACGGAGCAAGGGACCGTCTTCAACCTGTCAGCCTTGGGGGACCCCTCCGGATCTACATAGCGTGACAGACAGCATGCTCAATCGATAAGAGGAACGATCATCGAGCCGACGCAACCTTGAAGACCCGGGAGAGTGTCACTCCGAGGGTGCTGGAGATGCGCGTAGAGGCAGCCAATGTGTTGATCCTCGCGTGCGCGCTGCTCTCCGTGTGTATGCTTGTGCAATTAGCGACACGCCAGCACTGACGGTGCGTTCCCACCATAGCCCGTAATGTCAACGCAGATGACAGCTCGCAAGCCATCCTTGGGAAGGGACGGGTTAACAGACGCGGCGTTGCGCAATGCCCGAGCGCCTGGCGCTGGCTCGAACGATCGACTAGAAACGTAAATTTCCGCGTCGGCGCGTAAGCTATACCTATCCTGCTCATGCAGCGGATCTACGTGAAACTCGCGGCGCACCGGATCTGTACGAAGGATCTTTGAGTATGATTTCCGGCCCCGGCTGGCTAGTCCTTAGGCCCAATCAAATTCATTTTGAGCTGCTTAGCATCATAACAGCAGTCGAAATGGGGATACCATGGCGAAATTGCTGTTGACAACACGTCGTCCTTCTGGGGCACGAGATACGGTTGTGGAGAAAAAGCTCTGTTGTCTTGACAAATTCGACAATTTCTCGACTTGAAACTGCCGAACTGGTAATGTAGGAGTAGGAATGGGTTCAGTAATCATGTTGTCATAACGGTTCTGCTTCTTCTGGACAGGACGTCGTAAAGGTGCGTATGCGAAACCGATGACAATGTGTGCCTCAAACAATACGCGGAAAGGGTCCGGCAACGGTCCGGGTGTAGGGATGGCTTTTGATACCCATTTTGTATAGCCTCCTCTCCACATACCAGGATTCCAGCTAAACCACGTCGGTGTAGTCAACGTTGAGGCATGTGTTGACTATCCAAAAGAACATGCACATTCTTGGGGATGGCCGATAAACGTTGGGACTTAGCATGGCGGCTTAAACTAACGATGCACTGGCAAAGCATGTTGTTCCTGCTGTGCAAGAAGAGCCAAGCGTCTCCGATCGTGGAAATGATGGGGCTTGCAGTAGGGATGAATAAAAGCAGAAGTAGCATATGCAGTTCAACTCAAGTTCGGGCATTAGCTCTGCTGGATCGTGGCCTGATGCCATTATCGGAGAGTCGGAGTGAGGGCTAGCCGCGAAGCTGGTGCTAACGCACTCCTGCAGCAGTAGTCAGTGGACAAGAGGAGCCGGTGTAGTAGTCCCTATGATCGCGATGCCTTGCGGCCAACAAGACAGAGCCAGGCGGGTAGTCGCTGAAAACTGCACAAGACGCACGTAAGCTGCAATACCGTGGACGATCTGTCGTCTCCGTTGTGTAGGCTATTGGACCCGTCGCTAGTCAGCCGATTAGTGTACCAAGATGTGAATGACTACCCACCGGCTAGTCTTTCATGGTGTAAACCTCCGACAAAACTTGCACCCTGCCATCGCTTGCCTTTCCTAAGTTGACTGGAGTAAGTGGCGTAGTCGCGGGAAGGGTGTGTCAACCTACACATGGTCGATTTCTAGATCGAGCGAACATGTTGCTGATCTTCGCTTCACATTTAGAAAATCAGACCACAGATCAGCGTCGTTGATCAAACCGGCTCTTGCACCTGCAAAGCGAAGACGCGACACGCTGTCCTCCCGTTCGGAGTAGCCGACTGTAACTCAGGACGGAAGCAGATAGTCGAGGCAGTTGCCCACTTGTGACAAGACGGTAGTTGAGGGAGGCAAAGTGTACGCGTAGTGGGGAGGCGAATATACTAGTCGAGGCAGGAGGTAGCGATGGTTCGCCACCCAAATCGGCATCTGTGACTTCCTCATCGGGAGCCATCGCAACTCTACCCGGTGCACATGGCTATTTTTACCGGCACAGCATACACACACTCGTTCTTGGGCAATACATTCTCACCCAGCATGAGTGTTGATCGTGTATTCTTCCACCCATTAGGCTGTGCGTCGGTTGGAGTTATTGCCCGAATGCAGCACCTCTGCCTCACTTTTCCTCTACCCGTGTGGCTTCGGCCTTTTGTAATCGACTTAGAAAGAGGGATGTCTACCAAAATTATTAGGTTTCCATATGAAAAGACTCATCACGTGCTCCGCTACACCTGCGAGTTTTGAATCTTGCTTGGGTTGTTATTGTAGAGGTTCCCGCGTCTTTGGAAGATCGTCCGTCCACCTTCCTGGTTTCTCTCCCTTCCCGTACGTGGAGCCACAATCCGACCGACCCAGCAATACTCCCTGTTACCCGTCGCCGCAGTCCGTCCGCCGGCTGTCTGTCACCCGCCAAAGAAGCGATGATCACTTATACTTGGTCACAAATGAGTGATGCCATGCTGATCTTGCACGAAAGGGTTATTATTGTTTGCAAATCTCTTACTCTTCCAGAAGCTTCTGATGTTCGAGAACATGTTCTTCGATTTGGTCACTAGCCTGATAATTTCCATGCTTGTGGGAGATTAACTATTATATTACTACATTTAGTCAGAATTATGCTGGATATATGTGATGACGATATTCCCTATATCGTTCGACCGGTGAAAATGCAAACAAGAAAAAGGAAGCAAGAGGTATCTTGATGAAGAGGCATTCCATGCATGCGCCGACGTTTGAGGCTATCCTCAGAAGTAACAAAAGAAAAGGTGCCACCACGGCACACAACCCAACCATCAGGTCAAAGGATGCTCTCCCGAAGCATGCCTGGCAGAAACGTGGCCCAAACGTGGGCGAGTCAGGCATTCCTCATACTATGATGATGGTGGTGTCATCCACGTTGCACCACTAAAAGACGCCTAAAGGGCAAATAGGAAGTGATGTGTCGCGGGTAAAACCTGGAAAGCGTAGGTGGTATGGCCTGGAAAAACAAAACAAAATTCATGATGCCGCAAATCTTGGGAAACGTGCCAGCCACGTTATAGCCATGCGACCGATGGAACACCATCGCAAGCCACCCATCTGGAAAAGATCGACCGTTGGCTGCTGGAAATGGTATGGAAGAAGAGATGTTCGGTTGGATGTGATGCCGTGTTTGGTGGTGTACCAAGCTCCAACTTGCAACGCGCCCGCTTGCAAGATCGCGCGCTTCCGCCAGGTCGGTGTCAAGTTCCAGGATTCCGGAGCGCCAGCCTACCTTAAGCATTGGCTCGCTTCTTCCGCATCTTGTATTCAGCCTTCGCCACGCGCATCAACAGCTCTTCGTCTTTAATAGGGATCCAAGAGGTCAACACCTTCATCGCGTTCTCGAAGTCTGAGTCCAGCAAGATCTCTCTCGTCGCATCAATAAGCGCAGCCGATGTAGCATGTAACACATCCATATCTCCACTGAACTTGGACGTCGGCGAGTTGGAATGAGACTTGTCGCCCAGTAGCATGAACACGTCCCAGACGCGTAGCTGAGCGGGGAAAGGTAACGAATAGTTGAACAGCGTCAGGTACCACCGGGTACCGTACGCGGTCGAGCTAATGCCAAGATCAATCTACAAAAGAGTTTGATTAGCACACACACCAAGACGTCAGCCTCTCCAGTAGTAGTGACTTACTAGCTTCTTTGCGACATCACCTCCGCACAGCCAGTTCAGCTCAAAGTCATCTAGAGCCTCCATGAGTCCTTCAAAACCAGCTTCATAGAGTCTTTCCATGCCTCGAAGCTGCCACAACCGCACTAGCATGACGAAAGCTCGGTCCTCTTCGTAATAGCAAAGAAGCGTTGCGGTTAGTGCAGCCATGCCTTGGACATAGCCAGTTTCAGGCAAGTACAGTGACATCGCATGCAGTACGCGGAATAGAAGTCGCTGGCCTCCACGGTACCGCCGCCGAAACATGATATGCCTGTTGATAGTGCGAGGTACATCAACATCAATCTGCACGTCCTCTGCAGAGCTCTCCAGCTGGAGTTCGTAAAAGCTTTCGATGAGCTCCTCTTCTGTTGGACTATTTGCGTCGGCTTTGGCACTCGCAGCAAGGAATGAGTACCACGCAGTCGCCCTCCAGCGATCAGGTATGCCCTTCCATGTGCGAGAGATGACCTTGGGGTCTTTGGTATCGAATTCAAACAGCATGCCCCCCTTATCTGCCCCCGCTTTGACAACCTTGGCCATCTTACGCCATTTTTCGTTGCGCTCGATTTCCTTTGCTCTCATCGCCTGTGCAGCCCTTCCTCCTTCTTGCTGTTCCGCAACCTCGGCTAGACCGGGCGGTAGCTTGAGCATGTCACTCGCCTCGTCCCTCAGCCTGCGGTCTCGATTATGGGGTAACCTGTTTGTCGCGTGTCGCAGGGGCCTGTGACTGCTGTGCGTATCTGAAGTGCGACCTGAGAAAATCGATCTGGCGGGTCTTGAAGATTTGCCAGAAAGCCGCCGCTTAGGTGAGCCTGAGCGTGGGTCTACAGAACGAGTAGAGCGAGCTCTCGATGCGCTGCGCCCTAGACGCCGTCGTCTAGGCTCTTCAGACAGCAGTTGTAGTGTTGTAGTGACTCGCTGCATGCGGGGCACGTCGGGTCCGTCTGGGCCGTCGGCGTCGGATTTCGACTTTGTCTTTTTAGGTATGATGAAACCGTATCGGTCGACCTCTCCACCGTCAAGATCCGCCCAGTCCTCGAGTCCACCGGCTGCCTCTGTAGGTTCTTTGACTATCACACTCCCGTGTCGTGAGCTTATGAGTGAACTTGTGTCCTCGTTGCCTTCCACGAGCACCGACGAACCATTAGCTGGGGTGTTGGTAACAGCGCTGCTCCCCAGGTAGCTGTTCTGAACACTGCTTGTCTCCTCCTCGGGTGTATCCCAATTGACAGCACTCTCGTTGCCATGCATGTACATGCAGCGAACTTTGCGCGACAGTGTCATCTCATCGGCTGATAGTACTCGGTGGTTCGTTGATCGTGCGCGGGTCGAGTAACGTGAGGTGGATCGCGGTGAGAGGTGCTTCGTCGCGGGTGTGGGTGAGGGTGAAGGGTCCTGCTTGGGTGATTCATTTGGTTGCGCCTGCTCCTTCTGTCGCGGTGGTGTGCTTGGTGCGGGCGCGGCTTCCACAAGGAGGTCCATTTGTTTGCTTCGCCTGTTTACCTTCTTGCCACCCAACATCATGCTGCCTCGCTTGGAGAAAGATATCTGCGCGTCCGAAGAGAAGTCGTCGAAGCTGCCTGTAGGAATGTACGTGTCTAGGCCAGGGAATTCGGCCTCTTGCTCGCGTGTGGCATCGTCTAGTGAGCAACGTCGTTGTGACGCATGGCTCTTGGGACCTGAGGAGCGTTCATCCTGCACTACAATAGCAGGCAGACTCGGCGTCTTGCGCAGGCTAGTAGGTGAGGGCGGTTCGTTGGTGGTAGTGCCATTGGAGGGTGCTAAGGCCGAATCTCTGCGGTCGTCGTCCTCGTTCAGTAGCGTCCGCTTCAAGGAGAAAGCTCGAGGTCCGGGTGAAGTGCGTGGTCGGCGGACATTGGTGAGCCACGATCGTGATGCGGGGCCCTTGGTCGACGAGATGCTGTGTGCATTCGAGGGAACCGGCGACAACTGATTCGAGGCCTCGGACGTCTCCACCGCGGCGTGACCAGCGGAGTTTCCAGCCTCATCTCTCATCATGTGAGGCGCAGGCAGGTCCTGGTCATAGAGTCGGTCCCTGGAGAGAATAGCGGCTGGCAAAGCGAAATGAAGGGAAATGAAAGGGTGTGGGCGAGACGGCAACCTGCGACTCTGATTTCCAAAGTGCAGCGGCGAAGGTATGCCGGGCTATGTTTGCACAGAGTAACAACGTCAATGCTATGGACAAATGGTGCAATTGAAAAGCAAAGACCTATGCGACGACTATGGGATCAAAAAAGATCCCGGCATGGCTTGACTTGACTGGGGAAAAGGGGCGTCGCTATCAATCGGGTCGTGGGTCGCATGCCTTCTCCAGACTTGTTGCCGGCCGGAGATTGCCCAGATGCTCAACGCGCCCCGTAGAAGGGTGACGCCTGCTCACTTGACCGGCCCGTACTTGCCTCAACCACGACATCCCATATTTCTTTGTCCCTCACCGCATCGCGCCCTCACACCTCTTGGGTTTTGCACTCTGCGCGCTTTCTGGGGACATGATGCGTAGACACCTCTGTTCCTGCAATCACGCTCAATATGCCCCGCTGAAGCGTCGCGACACCCCACAAAAGCCAAACCCCCGGCGACGATCGCTGTTCCACGCGTCAATAAACTTTCCGGTCATGGCTCCTCAAAGCGGATGCCGACTAACAAATCCCAACGTCATATTCTAGCTGAGCTGCTATCGTATCAGTTGTCATACGACGCAGACTCAAACAGAGCAAGAGCTGGATAGACAACACGCCCTTTACTCGGGTGGCACAGGCAATCACAGCGTTCTCGTGCTTACCACGCTGACATCCACGCAATCTGTACTCTAGCCCAACACACCAAGGGCTGTCCTCGTTATGGTCGCCTTAAGGGGAAGGTGCTCTCTAGTTTCCCTCCCTTGCATACTGCCACTCAAACCCTCACCAGTACGCTCGGCCAGTGTACCAGTCTCACAAAATGCTGCGCATATTTGTACCCCAACAGTACGTCTTCTGGTCGAAACAAGAGAAAGCACAAAGTATTTCGCCAGGTATACACATATCATGTTGAACTGAGCAGTCGTACTGAGCCCTGAGAGCAATGAGCGTTTTTCGCGGAGGCTCGGAGAGCCTCGTAGCTATGATAGAACTCATACGAAACCCGCCAATATGCGAGTTTTACTTCTGGCTACACCTCGCTTATGTTCGCATATTGCAGCAAACCTCTGCTGGGTCTGATTCCTGACGATCAAGACATGCAGAAAGACCATCAGAAATCGAAGAGAATCTTGTTTCACCCTGAATATCTCCGTAAAGCCCTTCTCACTCGACCGTCAGGCTCGATGCAAGCACACATGCCTCCACTGATGCTGATGCTGGGTTAAATTGTGCTATCGCCATCTGGATGACTGACTCAGACTGATAGCGCCTTTTTCCGACTAACGTAAGCAGTGGGCGGTCCTGTTGGTCGCGTTATGATATCACTCGTCTGCATCGGTCATCGTAGCCTGGCTCTAATACGAACATGTCGTTCTCAACTTCGACCAACCAAGTCCATTCTCACTTCCAGATTTATCCAACGGATAACCGGTGCCGCAAAAGAAGCCCCACTCTAGAACTGTGAGTCGTGGGGCGTGCAAGTAGCTACCCCTCATCGCTTTTCAGCGTGTCGTCAGTGTGTGGCTATGTGTCGATATCTAACTGCGGGGAACATGCGACAAGCGTCACACGACTGGCAGTCAGCGAACCTTGTGTAAAAAACATTGGCGCGAGAGCACATAAACCTAGAGTGAATGCCTCACCTGGACGTGTCTGGACAAAGGGCTACCCGTGATGGCATCCTTAGATTTGATCAATCAGGCTCCTGTGGTATGCGACTAAAGCTTCTTGGGACAGAGAACACAACTAATGACCACATCCAGGGAACTAAACTCTGGGTATGACTCTTGGCGGCATCCTCACCAACTACACTCACCCTAACACTACTGTCTTTAGATCCTCCATCTTGGTATACTCGAATGTGATGATGGCTGGTTCATCCGTGCAGCAAACGCCTCCTCCCTATCTAACCCCAATCCCGTACACAAGCGCCGCAGACTTGTCATGCTCGGTATCCTTATCGAACATCCGACTGAAGGCCTCATCCTATACGAAACTGGCGGTGGAGAAGACTACCCCAATCTCGCGGGTACACACGTTCAAGACGTCTTCTCACGAGTCGACTACGACAAGTCTATGAATCTTGACGAACAAATCGCCTTGACCGGCCACAAGATTGAAGACGTCAAGATGGTCATCATAGGGCACTTGCACCTCGATCATTCTGGCGGCCTAGACCATTTTAGAGGCAAAAACATACCCGTTCACGTTCATGAGCTCGAACTCAAACACGCCTTCTATAGCGTCGCTACCAAGACCGATCTTGGCGTTTACCTCCCTCATTACCTTACTTTCGATATCAACTGGGTTCCCTTCCATGGCGCATACTATGAGATTGCTCCTGGCATCAACTTGCACCATGCACCTGGACACACACCCGGACTAACGATCATGCAGGTGAATTTGAAGGAAAGCGGGACCTGGATCTTCACGAGTGATCAGTATCACGTCAAGGAGAACTTTCAGGACAGTATACCACAAGGCTGGTTAGCAAGAGATCACGATGCGTGGGTTAGGAGTCATCAGATGATCAAGGGGTTGCAGAAGAGAACGAATGCGAAGGTCTTGCTGGGTCATTGTTTGGACACGATTAAAGAATTGGGTGTTGAATTTGCCCCTACGACTTACAAGTGAGGTTGTGAATGGGGTAAGTTCAGCGAAAGGCGTTGGCAAGGTACGACCAGACTGCTTACCACATCGTGCTGTTGATTACATTCAAATTTCAGACCTTGTACCATTTTCCGAAAAATTCTCTCATATCCCTCACCATCTCCTCCGGACACTCCATGCATGCAAAATGTCCTCCATGGTCATGATCTGTAAAGCCCGTTAGCATATCCCAACTTTCCATCATCCCTCATCAAATCTCATCCTATCTCATTTGATTCCACACGAAACACGTTGGGGATGCCGATCGCACACATGACATACCTCTGAAAAACTTCAGATCCGTACATGTAGTCTCGACACCACTTTTGGGCGCAGGAAAAGCATCGTAGGGAAACGTGCTCACGCCCAGAGGCACGCGGATCAGGTTTTCTTCTTTGGCGTCGAATTTGGTGTACATTTCGTGACGCACATTGTTGTAATAGGATAACATACCTGTGGTATGCTTGTTAGCACGGCGCATGTGGCGAGGAAGGAAGCAGAAAAGAAGATAAACGTACTCGTCATGACACTTGGCGGCGTGAAGAAATACAACGAAAGCGTCGTGCAAAGATCATGTAGCCACTGCTCGTTAACGAGTGTCGCTGTGCCTAAACTTGGATCAGCAAGTTCATTGTATTTTTCACCAAAGAACATCATGATCCCGACGGGATTATCTGTCGTGTTTCTTGTGTTAGCCTGCGATTACTCAAACACCATGGTCGCTGGCGTACCGTTGAAGGCCACGCCAATAGTCTGCGGTCGTGTTCTCATCTCAATCGCATACCCCATATGCGTCTCATTTAGCGGCTTCCCTAGAAACCACTCCGCTCTCGCTATCCCCTTCTTTTCTTTCTCCGTTAGGCTAGTGCCTTCTGGGGGTGCGCCAGGACACATGTTCGTGTGCACTGCTTTGCAGTTGGGATACCGACCAGAGCCAAGTTCGCGGACGACCCAGTGACCCCAATCTCCGGCTTGGGCGGCGTAGGACGTGTACTGTTGGAGGTGGTGTTCGTCAATGGAAGAACTCATAGTAGGAGTGCGGTTGTATGGCATAGACAGTGAGGAAAACGTACACCAAGTCTCTTCATCAACTCATCGAACAACCTCGCAGTATCCTGCAAGGTATGTCCCCTCGGTGGACCTTGCGACCAGCAATACCCTGGTAGCGACGGGACAACGAGATCGAAAGCTGGTTGTGTATCGTTTTCAGGATTCAATAGGGGTTGCATTACGTTCTGGAACCTACACTCTTCTTGTTAGTCCACAGGACAGATCTCTCAAGTATCCTCAAAGACAATACCATGAGATAACATCAGCAGTAGGGCCGGTAATCAAAGAGAGGAAGTAATGACATACTCAAACCATGTTCCTGGCCACCCATGAACCAACAACAACGGCACCGCATCCCTTCTCTCCGCCTTCTGATGTATAAAATGTATCTTTAACTCCTCGATCTCAGTCGTAAAATGGTTCCACTCATTAATCTGCTTTTGTGCTCTCCCCCAATCAAACTTGTTGAGCCAGTGATTGTACAATGTCTGTACCCACTCGAGTGATGGTCCATAGTCCTCGCCGGCATCAGGTACAATGGGTTGGGTAGGCAATCTTGTATCGGCTAGCTTGCGAAAGAGGCGATCGACTTCTGTTTGGGGGATAGTGGAGTCGAAAGGTTTGATTTCAGAGGGCATCGTGTGATATTTTGTTACTGCGCTTGTGTGGTAAGAGTGAATGACTGGTGTAGCGAATTGGATATGGATTGTATTTACGTCAGAAGTATAAGCGGTAACCCCGCATGTCGATCCGTACGATGCTTTCGATGGTATTGACATAGCTTGGTTCAGATTACTTAGCACGATGTCATGGCGTCACTTGGTTGTCATATGCAGGGACTAGTGGTGCTAGCCTAATGCGAAATGACCATCGTGAGTTCTACTGAGTGGTGATGGGATGGTATGCTCGAACTAGGTACTACTGATAAGTATACCAATCTCGGCAGAAAAAGATGGATATAGTGAAATTCAACAGACTGTGGTTCGATTCGTCGACTGTATAGCAGATGATGTGGCCTGGATGTCGACAATAGTTTCAAGTCTCCAGCAAAATTCATGATACCACGACGATTTCCAGCCCCATCTAAAAGCTCCACGTCTGACCTCTACTTCTTCTTCGAGCCTCTGCCGCCTCTCGCACTCTTCTTCTTTCCCTTCGCAATATCGGCACCCCGGCGGCCACCGGCAATCATGACTCGTACCTTGCTAACAGGCACGACGCCCACGACCTCTGTCTCTTTCCACCCTCGGATCAGCTCAATCTCCTTGGGCCAGATACGCTCGACGTCCTGACTGTTCTTGTCGATTATCTTTGCGTCCTTTCCGGCATGATCCCAGATAGAGAGGACCTCTTTGACGGCTTTACCTCGTTTGGTGGAGCCAGGCTGGATCTTGGCTTTGTATTTGTAGGTGGAAAGAGCAGACCAGGGAGCACATACGGGAATGGCGGTGAGCAATTCGTCATTTGGTAATGGTCGGCCTGTGAATGCGTCGAGGTTCTGCAAGTTCGTCTTGAGGACTTCATCGCCCTCGTCGTCTTCTTCGGCGTTCTCCAAGGCGCGTAGACGAGCTTCTTCAGCAGCCTTGCCTGCGGCTTGCGCACGTAAATGTTGGTCTCGACGGCGTTGCTTGTCAGCCAGCGCCTGCTCTTCTTTCTGACGCTTTTCTTGAGCGGCAGCCTCCGCAGCCTGCTGCCCAGACTTGGAACCCAAGAGACGCATTGCTAACTCACGGTCCTCCTCGTCCTGTGCAGCGTACTTTGCGGCCTGCTTCTTTGCTTTCGCACGTTTGCCTCGGGGCAAGGGAGCATTCTTTGGTTTCGTACTCTGCGTTGTTACGGTACCGGGTGCCTTCGGAGGGCTCTTTGCGTTGCCCTCTTCATCTGAAGAATCCTCTTCTTGACCAGCACCGTCAGCTGTAGGCCCAGCGTCAGACGGAACTTGGGGTAAGTCTTGGAGTTGACCTTTCCTTGCTAGGCGACGTTCTCGTGCAGATAGTTGTCGCTTTCCAGTAGATTTCACAATCTGTTCGGTATCTGCTACCGAGCCTGCGTCTTCTTGGGGTTCTTCATTCACAGCAGAACCATTTTTGCCGCCAGACATGGCATACTCGTCGCCATCCTTGGTGGTGGCTAGCTCATCTTCCTCGTCTGAGTCGTCTCTCGCATCTGCAGTCCTAGACTGGAGAGGATTGCTCCTAGGCGCTGCGGCTTCAGATTCAGCGTCGCTCTCTTCAGTCTGTTCCATCTTTGCATCAGGGAAGTCGTCTTCCGAATCTGAGTTAATCTTTGCGTCTGGAAAATCATCCTCGTCATCACTGTTGTCAGTCTTGGACGCGTCTGCAGCTTTTGAGTCATTCGCGGGCTCGTCGACCATCTCCGCGGCAGAAACTGCTGTCTCTTGCACGCGATGTTTGTGGTGGTTGGCCTTGCTGGAATCGCTGATCTCGAACATGACAGCAAGACCTACGACCAGCTGAGCTGGTGGTAGGAATTCCTTCTTGCCCTTGACGTTGAACATACCGGCCGGGAGGAACTCGCCCGTCTGTCCAGTCTTGCTGACCTGATCGCTACGAACCCACCAAGCTGACATGACAGCCTTTGAGTCCCATGCGTCAGATGTACAAATGCAGAGGTTGCCGGCTTGCGATAGTGTCGAAGGAGGGATGGGGGCATCTGGAGTATCTGGCTTGTTCTTGATGATCATTGGCATCGCTCCTTTGATATCTGCATGAACGTATACATCTCCTTTTCGTAAGAAGCGTCGGTAGATAATTTCGTTCTGCTGAGCATCCTTTCCTCCGAGGACCAAGTAGCCATCCGAAGAGATGAAGTATATGTATTTCTCGAACCACTGCTGCTTGCGCACTGGTCTTAGTACCTCTTTCTCTTGTTTCAAACCCTTCTTCAGGTCCTCTGCAACTTTCTTCTCATGGCTCTTCAACGCTCTGGTCGATGCTTGCAGGGTGCGATCTTCTTTGTCGGCAGCTGTCTTCTTCTGATCAAAGTATTCGGTCGAGTTCGCCCATGCACTCAGAGCTAGGTCGATATCGATAGCCAGTTGAGGCCGAGTGGACACGGCCGGGGTAGGAGCCTTTTTCTTAGGCTTATCATCCTCGTCTTCTGTATCCTCACTGACAGAGCTTGTCTCGTTACCCTCGTCTTCATCGTCTTGACCCTCCTCCCAGTTAGTCTCGTCGAGTAGCAGCGTGACAGTGTTCTCGTGCAACTTGAGCGGTAACTTGATGAGTTGCGCGACCGCATTTCCAGAGTTTTGTTCACGCTCAATCAAGCGCGCAATATCGACCCAATCCATGCCTTGTCTGATCAATCCGTTGACAGCCTCAGTAGCTTCGGTAACACGATGCACGTTTGCCAATATCGCTTCTGCCTTCCGGAAGTTGAGATCCTGCACTTGCTGCAATCCACCGATTCGATCTTCATGCTCCTTGCGCGCCTTCTCTAGCTTCTTCTTGGCCTGTTGTTCGCGTTCTGTCAACTTGGACTCGAGCTTTTGTCCTTCTATCGAGGAGAAAAACTCGTCTACCGCCTTGTTGAAACCATCAAACTCCAAGAATGTATAGTCGGAGTTTTCAAATTGGTGCGGACGGAAGGGATGGAAATCGTCGTAGAGAAGTTTGGACTTTTCAGAAGCCTCGTCATCGGCCGTAGATGCGGATGGGTTTGGCTTGGCTAGAATGTAGCCCTTGATCTGATCTGGCGTCGAGACCTCGTCGGTGATGTTCCTTGCATTCTGTAGGATCTCTACGAGACTGCCTAGGAGATTGTCATCAGCGAGTACCTCCTCAGGCTTGAGAGTCGAATCGAAGTTTGCGATATGCAGCGCATGGTCTACTAGCAAAGGGGGACATTCGGTAATGGAAACGGCCAGCGCCTTCCTCAAAGAGTCCTTGCCTGCTTTTTTCGCCTTCTTCCCTGTCGCTGCAGGCTGATCCTGTTGTTTATCAACCGCCTTCTGCAACCCTTGGCGCACGCGCTCCTTTGTAAGCTCCGGGGCACCGCCGTAGTTCTGCCGTAGGGTCAAGTTGTACTTTAGACCGACCCTCAGTCTCTCATGTTCCTCGCCTTCGTCTACGTTCCGCAAAAGAGACAAGACGTTCAAGTCGGCATCTGTCAGCACGATGTTGCCGCCAGCGTAGAACTCCAAGTACAGCCTGTATAAGCCATCGGAGAATTGGAACTCGAGAATGCGGTCGGTACCAATCTGGCTGATTGAGGTGATCCGCCTTGTTTTCAGGTATTTGCGCAGCTTTGCGACAAAGCTGGAAGGCGCGGCGGCTGTAGTTCGCGCATATTCGGTCAAGTGGCAGCGAAAGCCAGAATCGATAAGTAGCTGTTCGCGGTGGTCGGGCTTGTGGAATTTGATGAGGAAGATTCTCTGTTTGAGTGTCAGTAAGAGGGCTAGGCTGCATGGATAGTAAGTAGTTGGATGCATACAGAGCTTAGGTCATAGACGTTGGTGACTCGCAACGAGGTGAGTTTTGCGGATAGCTCATGGGCTATGACCTGTTCAATTGTTAGCAAGTTGTCATTTGGCCGACAGCATGAAGTTACCCACCTTGACGTCCAAGCTGGAAAACCTCTGCTTCATGGTGATGTCGTGTGCAGAGTCTGTGGTTAGTGGGGTTGGCGACTGTTGGTGGGCTGCGGCGATGACGAAGGTGCGCAAGTAGCGCGATTGCAAGGGTCATGGAAAATGGACGTGGTTCCTGGCCTAACGCTTACTAACCGCCTTGTTCACACGTACGTAGCAGACATGACAGGCGTCTGTTGAAGGCGTCAGTAGAAGCAGGATATATTCATCGGATCTTTATCTTGTGCAGCGCGCTACCAACTCTACCATGCGCCGCGTCCCGGGCCATACCAGTCGCAATGCCAGATGCATCTTATCCCAAACTCCAACAACGCCATGCCCAGCAAACAGAATGCGCTTAGAGACCCTGCCGTATCCTCTCCGCAAGCTGTCTCTTGCCAAACTCCCATGCGTTCAGGAATCCTTGTTCCGAGAGGTCGATGTTCTTCATCGAGGTCATGTCTTGAGCTGGGGGCTTGCTGACGCGCGAGGCGACAATGACCGGGTCCGTTTCGAGGATAATACCGTCGTCTACGAGCTCATCAACAGCGAGTGACTGCGCGTGTTAGTCAAAGCAAGCTAGGAAAGTTGCGACGGTGGGTACATACCACAAGGTCGTAGTTCTCGATGACGGTGCGCTTGTCGACCGAATTCCTGCTATGCATTAGACGAGTTGGCGAGCCGTGCGTGACAAACTTACTTTAGGAGGATGTTGAGCGAGTCTCTCAATGCCAGGACGACACTAGACATGTGTTAGCTCGAGGTCGAGTACCCCAGGCTGCGCTGTGCCCGTACCTGTATAGCAGAACCTCGTTCTCTTCGGCGCTTCCAACCACGTAGAGCATCACGTCCGACTCCATCTTGAAGACAATGACCTTGCCATCATACAATATAATGTCCGTCGTCTGCTTGGCCGTCTTCTCTGTGCAACGTGTCAGACGAATGGGCGGGTAGCTTTATATGGAGGCGGTCTACACACCCAACAGTCCCTTCTCAAAAGCCTTCTGGTCCTTGACCGTCTTGTATGCAATCTGGCCAGGGTAGTCATTCTGGTGCCCGGCCGGCGGGTGCGGGTTCGAGTAGTACTTGGTGAGGATGCGGGAGCCGTCGTCGATGGCGAGGACCAGGATCGCCTGGACGCTGAAGAGGGAAAGAGGGCGCGACATGGTGGAGCACGTGTATAATCGTCTATGCAGGCGTCAATGGGGTCAGCTCTGGTGTCGACGCGGTGGGGGGTTTTGGTTGATAGGTGTCTGCTTGCGGAGAAGCGGCCAATCACGGAGGTCGTGCGCCCTGGGCTTTAGCGCGCCGTCTGAACTTTTGAGAAGATGCGACGACCATAGGCGGGCGCATCACATCCGTCCAAGTCAGTACACCGCGAACATGCACAAAGTATCGCGAACCTCACTCGCTTCCCTGGTCTGTCCATCGGCCCCGTTTCTTGCGCCTCGTCTTCTTCGCACTGCGGCACCCGCTGCTGTGACATTGGCACAATGCCCGCCATCTGCACGCCCTCAGAGGGCGACGTACGCAACAGCAAGGGAGGGGAAAGGCAGCGCGGGAAAGACAGGCCCCAAGGAGGGTAAAGGACTCATCAGAAAGATTGATCCCAAGAAGGGAAAATCGAAGTCTTTTCCTCTTCGTTCTCCTCGTCTGGACCCGGAAGAATATGAAGTAAGACCGACCATCTCTTTCACGGACTGTGCTCACAACACCAGACAGTCCGCCTAGTCAAGAAGTTCCGAGAAGCCTGCGATGTCCGAAATGTCCAGCTTGTCATGGAACTCTACCCCACGCTACTCGCGGCAAAAGTCTTGAATAGCTACGACACGCGACGCATCACCCAAGTCCTTCACGTGCGCATACGCAACGAGCACAGTCCGAGCAAGCGAGACGAACTCTTTCCTTTCGTCCAGCAGTTGGTGAGCCATCTACGTCAAGGAACAGTCGAGCCGCACCCCTTCGCATTCGTCCATCTGTTCGGTATCTACAAGGACGCCAAGCGCTTCGATGAGGGGTATGCACTTTGGGAATGGCTGGTCCAACAAGACGAGCGCTACGTGTCGCAGGCTGTCTATGGCGCTGCAATCGAACTCATGGCATATGGAAGACTCAAGCCTCTGCCCTTATTGGAGGATCTGTACAACGACGGACTGAAGCGCTTCCCAGGCACCTTTGCTGAGTATCATCTCTCGCCTGACGCCATCGTGCCCGACCGCACCCAGCTTACTACAATCTCCGGTATTCCTACGCTCCTTCTCCAGGGCATACTCACCGCTCGCATACTGGCTCGTGATTGGAAACGGGCTTATCTGGCGCTGGACACTGCACTCCGTATCTATCCCACACAGACCCCACCCCGCTATTTTGAGCTCTTCATGACCGAGAGGCCTATATCTGAAGGATACACGGCCTTTATGCTAGCTTGCCGTGCTGGTGTCGCTATGAGGCCAACTCACGTTACTGCGCTTATTACCAAGCTGCGAGCTGCCATGGGAGCGTCACAATCTATAGCTGATCGTGTCATGCTGCTCCGAGCCATTGCGAACGCCATGTATGGCTACTTGGAGGCTGGGGAAACTCTCGAAGGCATTCACGTCGGGTCATTCCTCCGTGCTTTTGAACTGTTGCTACCAGAACCCATCGGTGGCGAAGATTATGTTGGGGAAGCAGCAGAGATGCGCGACATCCTGGCAGTTACAGCACATGAGATTATGTCGAATTTGATTCAAGCTGGCATGCCACCCGAGCTTCGATCATTACAGGCTCTCATCTCGATATCGGGTAAACTACGCCTTCCAAGTCTACTGAGTGCCACCCTTCAAGACATTGAAGCGGCAGGTTTTGAGCTTGGGCCTATCGAGAGACGAACGATCATAACATCGGCCGGGTTACTCAAGGACAAAAAGTTACTTGAGCAGTATTGGTTGCTTGTTGTGTCAGATGCAGAGGCGAACAGTGCACAGATACCATTTGAAGATTGGATTACTTTCACCAAGGCATGTAGACGAGCCGATCATAGTGATTACTTCCGAAGTCAGCTTTTGAAGTTGCCGTATGCCATCGACAACAACACTGAGCGCCACATCATTCAACAAATCGACATGCCAGAGACGTCCGCACTCAACCACAGATACCAATACATGAGCGTCAAGGAATTGACAACGGAGCTGGATGCACTCAAGACTCAGATGAAGGACATTGAAACCGTTGTCATGTCCGGACAACCACTCAATCTCCATGCATCCCCATTATACATGCATTTGGACCCCCAACACCCTTCTCTGGGTCGTGAAGAGGATCTACGATCGGTATACAACGAGCTCACTACTGATCCACACCAACCGCCTCCACCACCAGCCACACCTGATTCACCTATTCAGCCCGCAGTGAGTCCAACCGGCATACCCCTGGATGACCTCCGATTTCAGAATTGGGTCACCGTCCACGAAATGATGGACACAGCTGCCGACTACGAGTCTGATCTCCGTTATGCCGTTGACACCGCCATCAAGGCTGGCACCCCGCTAAAAGGCACCCCAGAACTTTTGCGTTTGCGTAAAGAAGCCTCGACACCGCGATCTCGCACCGATCTGAGCATGATAATAAAAGAGCTCAGAGCGAGTCGCCGCGAAGACTTGAAAATGTTCAGAAACGTTGCGTCAGATGACCTTTACAAGACGAAAATCACTAAACACATTGCCAAAGATGAGGGAGAGACCGCCGTAGCGGGCGAAAAGGGAGCGCAAAAGATCAGAAAGTATGTTGGCCTGGAGTCGTATCATGACGCCCCTGCTAGTTTGATACGTCAGGTAAAAGTATCAGACAGGAAGGCCTAGGAAATACTCGAAGAGGTCGGTGCTGCTGAGGATAGTCTGGCCCCCAGTGAAAGAGACATAATCCGACCTTTCAAAAGCGATTTTTTCTTCAAACATAATCATTGATCGTTTAAGTAGACATCTGTAAGGTGTATGTGTTTGCCTTGAGCTGGAAGTCTGCATACACCGTGACTAGATTTCTGTTGTCCGTATAGGAGATCATCTGTGATTATATGTGTATTTATACATTATCCAGTACCCTTTACTAGATTTTGAAGACAAGACACATCGCTATCCACTTCGTACATATTGATGGCAGCAGATCATGCCGCCGAGAATTGTGCCGAAGGTCTCCTATCGCAACTATCTCCATGTTGGTCTGACGTTTACTCATCATCACTCAAGTCTCATTACGTTGCATTCTTTCTTTCATCGGATACAAGGACAATCGAGACGTAAAGGAATAATCATCTTACTGCACCGTGGATCCAGCATTTGCACACTGCGTCTCACCTCATGTCGCCTCACCTTTCTCGGAACGTTTCCACCGGCGGATTTTTCCGCTCGGTATCCGAAGGAACATTTGGTCCGAGGATGGTTGTGCGGCCGTATGACATTGGCTTTGTGTTTGGATGACGGCAGACTAGGCCAACTTTTGAGTCATGTTCGCTGACCGGACTATGTTGGCTGATGACGTGGGAGTGGGATGCAAGTACATGATAGCGTGGAGGTACTCAGTGTGGTGAGTGGAGTTAGTACGCTTGACCAAAGTCGCGGTGTGTAGACCACGTGGAGTTGTTTTATCGCCGTCATAGGCAGTTTCACCACTTGCAGAATGAGCAGATGTGTAAGTATGAAGATGAGTGGTTGATGCATATCTCATTACCGAATACCAGGACATTGCAAGCCTCGCGGCCATAAAGCCGTCTGCCCAAGAAAATTCCAAATCTAAATCCAAAAAATGTAATACAGTCAAGTCAACTTAAAGTTGACGGGGAATACGAAGCCAAAAAAATAAATAAGACAATGATGTCAAGAAGTGAAGAATGGAGGCACGCAGCGGTCAACGCGCAAAGCAAGAAGCCATGACAATGTACAACCCTGAAAATCTCCAACGCCACATCAAGTAACCAAACCCGCTAAGTGCAAACAAAGTAACGAGAAGAGAAGGCGTCTCTAGTTCGAGCCAGAGCTACCCCTCCGGCTGTCGGCTGGTGTGATGGGAAAGCAGAAGTCGACTGGCGATGGTGGTGGAGCTGGGGTTTCGTTGGCGTCTGAGGAGCGCGAGGTCAAGCCTGAGGATGCTTTGAATGCCGCGCTGACATCGTGGCCAAGTGTTGAGTTGGTGAAGATGGAGAGACGCTGACGAGGGTTGAAAGCGGAGGCTGCGGAGGCGGGCATGTTGATGGTTTTTGTGTGTGGTGATTGTACTTGACAGTGTGTACTTAATACGTAGTTGACGATGAGTCTCGTAGGTATGAGGAGACTATCTGAAAATGCGGAGAGTATCCGGGATAGTTGACTAGATAGTTGCAACGGAAGCCGAAGAAATTGTACGGGCCGGAGTTATTGATGCGCTGGTGCGATGCAGGGTAATTCTGATTCTCGGGGAAAGGTGCGTAAGATATGTGATGTGCTGTCTCGGACTGTGACAACAACTAAAACTCGGGCTGACTCGGTAACAAGGCTGAAGTGTGTGTCTAGGGAAGGGGTGAGTCAGATTTAATATCAAGGAAGAATGCGCTGGGGTTGTTGGAACAGGGCTTAGGTGCGGTCGTGCGTTGGCATACAGGGCTACCAGAATTGGCGGAACCCCGGACTTGATGCGCTCGGGTATGGGGAAGAAGGTTGCGTAAGGGGCTGACTTACTTTTGGGATGTGGGTGCCAACGAGCGAGGCGTGTTACACAAGTGTGGTATTGCGAGAGGCTTGTGTGTAAGCTGGACCAAGGTATGCTTCAGTGCAAATGGTATGTTTGAAGAAAGCAAAGAGGCTCAAGGTAGAAGTGATTTTTTAATGTCAAGTAGATGAGGACGTGTGTAAGGAATAAGTATTGAGCGTAAAGCTAGGTCGTACTTTGCGATGCGTGGTAAATGGCGATACCGCGTCGAAGGGGGCGCTTCTCTTATACCACAGTACAAGTGCAGAGTACCGATACGATCGCTATTCACCGCCGAAGAGATAACCCTGACTCGCATCATTAACCAGGGTTGTAACGGAATCTCGGAAGGGCCATACGTTTTGAGCTAAAAGCAAAAGTATAATCAGCAATCAAATGTGCGCGGCCACACGGGGAAGCGGACGGTTGCAACTCCTTGTTGCGCGACCATCGTTGCACCTGGAAGGTGCAAAGTCCACCCCACGCCCTGATCCTGTTCC